AAAAATCCTAATCTTCAACGACAAAGGCTGACCATTGCCGCCTCCTTCACCTCGCGAGTGACCACAAGGGTAGCCATCCAAAAAAATAAAATAAAATAAATTCCGCGTTGTATTCAATGAAGGTATTCTGGTGCAAAACAATTCAACGTGGAGCAAAAACCACCACACCAAAGAATAGCCAACAAATCCGGGCCACAAACACAAGTCCCTACAAGTAGAACAAAAAGCCGAAAACACAAGTAAGCAATGGGGCTAAAGGTGCCTTTAAACACTGTCACTTTATGCAACACGCTTGGGCCCTATTTTTTCCTTTACGCAATTTCTCACCACTTCGGACCACAGCCAGCCAGAGACCAACTCCACCACATTTTCTTCGCCTCTAGTCGTCGTCTAGTCTATAGATAGATGCCCCACAAGTCACCTAAAACATAAATTCATGATTACATCAATAAATAGTTGGATACTATTATTTTTGTCATGAAAGAAATGATTAATATTATTTTATAATCCTTAGGGCTTAGTACATCAATTAATTTGTCAAAATGTTGTTCGGCCTTAACAATCATTTCATCTGTCAATTAATTAAACTAACACCTTTTCAGGTTTATCATGTTTTCACAAAACCCCCTAACGTTTGAATTATAACACTAACACCTATTGAGATTCTAATTGGCTTTCACATAACTCCTTTAGGGCTGACATCACCTTAAAACATTTTCTTAAAGAAAAATTTGCCCTGATTTTTAATTACTTTAAAAATAAAAACAACTTTTTTAAAAATCAATATTGGGGTTAGGGCCTCCCCTCCGCATTCACCACAATATAATAAAAATTCTTAACATGGTTCACCTCCTCCCTAGCCGTCCTCTCATGAAGCTACTCATTCGTCTTGGTTTTTTGATCAATCAGCCTATCCACAAGTTTGGCCTCACTCTCCGCCATAAAAAATATGGAAACCACCGAATTCCCAAGAATCTTTCTCACGAAATGCAAGTTGTCGTTGGAAACCTTGAATTTTTTTTATGCTGAATTCTAGAGAAGATCCAAGTCCATGGTAGAAAAAGAAAGATAACTATATTTCATTAATTTTCTTTTTATTTATTTTTTAATTATAGTGAGAGCAAATTTGACCAGAAGGAGTTATGTGAAAGTGAACTAAAACCTTAAGGGGTATTAGTGTTATGTTTCAAACGTGAGGGGTTTTGTGAAACATAATAAACCTGAAGGGGTGTTAGTGTAATTAATTCTTTTTTTTTTTTTCTTTTAACAAACAATATTATCTATCATAAAAAGAAGGAGGGACATGGATCAAACCTCACAATGATTTACCAATAATATGGTTCAATTTACCTTTGGTGATAATCGAATCTAAGACCTCTTACTTACAAGTCAAGAAGGATATCACTAGAACGTATGTTTGAAATTATTACAATAATTTAAAAGAGAAGAAATTTGAACCCGGGACGCATGAGTATAAACCAACACCCTTCTTTAAACAGTGCGTGAATGATACACAAAATTCAATGCTTATTATCGAGATCCTATATGGTATGCATCACTATGTAGATATTATCTCTTAAAAAAAAAAAAAAAAAAAATCAACACATGATCTATGAAATCTGTTGCTGGCTACTGTCACATTTTGGCGATTGTTGAATTTGTAAAGATATTAAAGCCGTATGTATCGCTTCTGAGAAAACAAGAAAGTCGTGTTTATGATGTATCGAAAATAATTTTGTGGTTTGTTGCAAGTTTTGGTGATTGTTTATTGCGTCCTGGTCACCTTGTCAGTGGTGTTGGTGATTGTTTGTTACAAGTTGGAGCATGAAGCTGCTATATAATTTCTCAATACAAATTGAATAATATGATGTCCATCAATGTTTCATCAATTCATCGTGGCATCCTACACTAATAATGCACGGATTAGGATCTTATCTGGATCATTTTTGTGAGAATCCAGATGATCAATCAATTTTATCTGTTCATCGTACATCGTGCAGTTAAAAATTATTTTGAATTTTTTATTTAAAATTGAACACAAATAATATCTAAAGAAAACTAGAATACAATGTACGATAAACGGACACGATTGATTGATCATCTAGATTCCCACAAAGAGAATCCGAAGCGAATCCTCATCTAACGCTCCAGCAAGTACGTCATCCAAATGCTACAGTAGTTCTTGTTGAGATCAGATTGCATTAGATGCTCTGCCGAAGATGAAATCGAGCAACAAAGTTGGCACATAAAACGCGTAAGGCCCGGAAGGGGAGCCTGTTGGCTTACCGTGTGTTTGCCACTACCATTCACTGTGACTTGTGAGTAGTCAGCTAGCTTTAATAAAAGGTATGAACTGATGATGTTGTTCCCTTAATTTGTCTTTCTTCATGTGTGAAGTTTGAACCCGTTGAATTTTTGTCAGCGGAAGGTAAAGGTGCTTGAGTCGGGGCATTTTTCTTTCTTCTCTGTGATGATTTTCTAAGAAAGTCTGAGCACCATAAATTTGTTAATAAACTTAAATCAATCTCATTCATCTCAAATATCCCGTTCTCTTTCTTTTGATACGTTATCAAGCGTTCGCTTCTTTCTCTTCTTTTTTATTCGCAAGTTATCTATTGTTAGTTCCTTGAGAGAAACACAAACAGATGGATTGTATCATGACTATCTTGAAGAAACTTTATTATCTATACTAAAGGATGAGAAAGTGGGTTAAAGCGCTCGCTTCTTTCTCTTCTTTTTTATTTGCAAGTTATCTATTGTTAGTTCCTTAAGAGAAACACAAACAGATGGAGTGTATCATGACTATCTTGAAGAAACTATATTATCTATACTAAAAGATGAGAAAGTGGGTTAAATCTAACAATAGGCATAAAAACCGTAGAACCGCGAAACCAAATTGAACCGCGACAAAATAAACCCTAAAAAATCGGGTTGACAAAAAAAAAAGTCAACGTAGGTTCAATAACGGAACTGAACCATTCATACCAATTCTGATTCTAGTTTTCATGTTGATAGAACTGTTTAGAACCGAACTGAACCATGAATAGAAATAATTAATTAAATTTAATAGTTGCATACAATTATCACTAAATGAGTGGTGAAAAGTGAAAACTAAACTGGTTTCAACTAGTGCGGCTGCATGGGAGCATTTCTCAATTAGGTTTTTCACTTGCATGTTCACCTATTGAGATAAGGCACATAATTGATAAAAAAGAAAAAAATAAAAAATAAATAAATAAAAAAGGAGTCATTTTCTATCGTAGGTCTCCAAATTTGAAATTCAGATTTCAATTTCATATTTTTCTTGGATAGAATTATCTTAAGGTGATTTGCATCCTGTTTTTTTTTTTTTTTTCCCTTTTTCCTGGGCATTTTTGAAATTGCTTGATAAGTTCCTTTTAGGCTTAAATTATTGTATTCGTACTAAACATTCTTACTGCATAGTGGATGTATTTGTATTATGAATTTATATGTTCTTTTTTTTTTTTGGCTTGGTGTCAAGGACATTTGCATTTTGATTTAGTATTTGAAAATGATATGTTTGTTTGTAACTTTTGTATAACCATTTTAAAAGTCGTATTTAAATGCAAGCATGCAAAAACCACAAAAAGAAAACAAGTCAACTTTGAATACCATTTTGACTTGATATTCAAATATTCGGAACCGTAAACCGACATGAACTGAACAGTGTAAACCAAATCGTACGGTTTTGGTAATAAATTTAAGCGGAACCATACCAAACCAAACCAAACCTTTGATATTTTCCAGTTCAAGTTCCTATTTGAGACTGGAACCACACCGTACCCACGCCTAAGCAATAATGTGGTTTGATTAATATTATTATATACTCCTTAGTGCTTAGTCCACATCAATTAATTTGTCAAAATGTTGTTTTTCCTTAGCAATTATTTTATCCCTCATTTAATCACTATAAAAAATAGTAGTCTTTTATTTTTAGCAAACGATATTATCTACACTAAAAGGGTCGGGGTGGACTAAGCCTCACAATGGGTTAGCAATAATATGATTCAAATTCTCTTTTGGCAAGAATCGAATCTAAGATCTCTCACTTACAAGTGAAGAGGAATACCACTAAATCGTAGTACTAAATGACATAATATTCTTCTTTACTTGTAGGTGATTAAGTGCGTAATTTTATGACCGACTTTCAGATGTAGTGAATTTGATACTAATTGACTGTAACCAACTGATTGAGCGATTTGCTCAAATTTCCTCACCATAGTGTAGTTGTATTAAAAAACCCAATAATTTACATTGCTTCAGTCCACAAAATTGTGAAGAATTCTTTTTTCTATTTTTTTTTAAAGAATTTATTATTATTAAGAGGAGGGGGAAAGGTACAAAATTATTCAAAATTATTACAATAATTTAAGAGATGAGGGATTAGAACCCGAATCCATGGATTAAACCATCACTGTCTTCAAACAGTGCGTGAATGACACAACACATATAGAGTGCTTGTTATCGAAATCATGTATATTATAAATTACTCTATAAATATTATTTCTCAAAAAAAAAATCAATGTAAGCTATGAAAGCGTATGATGCATGGAAAATAATTTCGCGGGTTGTTGCAAGTTTTGGTGATTGAACGTTGCGTCCTGGCACCTTGTCACTGGTGTCGGTGATTGTTTGTTGCAAATTGGAGCATGAAACCGCTATATAATTTCTCAATACAAATTGAATGATATGATGTCCATCCATGTTACATCAACCCATCGTGGCATCCTGAACTAATAGCGCACCAACTTCACCCATATGCTACAGTAGTCCTTGTTGAGATCAGATTACATTGGATGCTCTGCTGATCAAAAGATGTAATCGAGCAACAAAGTTTGTACATAAAACGCGTGAGGTCCCCCGGGGGGGGTGGCGCCGGGGCCCATTGGCTTACTGTGTGTTTGCCACTATTATGCATTGTGATTTGTGAGTAGTCAGCTACTAAAAGGTATTCTTTCTTCATGTGTGAACGCGTTGAAGCTTTCTACGCGGAACTGATGATGATGTTCCCTTCTTTCTTCATGTGTGAACGCGTTGAAGCTTTCTACGCGGAAGGTAAAGGTGCTTCAGTTGGGGTTCTTCTTTTTCCTCTCTTCGATGATTTTCTAGGAAAGGCTGAGCACCATAAAATTTTCAATAACTTAATAAATCTCATTCATCTCAAATATTCCGTTCTCTTTCTTTGACATATTATCAAGCGCTCGCCTCTTTCTCTTCTTTTTTACTCACAAGTTACAAGTCTATTGTTAGTTCCTTGAGAGAGACACAAACAGATGGATGGTATTGAAGCTAATATCACCCCTCGTCGAGAAAAAAGACACAAACAGATGGATGAGATTGAAGCTAATATCTCTCCTCGTCGAGAAAAGAGACACAAACAGATGGATGGTATTGAAGCTAATATCCCCCCTGTTCAGGAAAAGTATGATGTGTTTGTCAGTTTCAGAGGTGAGGACACCCGCCGTGGTATTACCAGCCATCTTCATGCTGCCTTACTTCAGAAGAAAATTGAAACCTACATAGATTACAGACTTCAGAAAGGAGAAGAAATCGGACCTGCCCTTCTAGAGGCAATCGAGAAATCCACGCATTCGGTGATCATTTTCTCACAAAACTATGCTTCTTCCACATGGTGTTTGGATGAGCTTGTGCATATACTCGAATGCAAGGAAAGACATGGCCAGAAGGTTATACCCGTATTCTATGACATCAATCCATCTGATGTACGAAAACAACACGGGAGTTATGCGGATGCATTTGCTCAACTTGAAAAACGTTTCAAGGACAGTATTGATAAGGTGCACAAGTGGAGGGTTGCTTTGAAGGCTGCAGCCGATCTGTCTGGGTTTGATTATTCAAACAATCACGGGTAAGTAACTCATTATTTAACTTGTATAAAATTATAAATTTTATTTAAACTTGTGAGAATTTGATTAGATTTGGTAAAGCATTACTCTATTTTAAACTTGGGGAGGGGTGGGGCACTGTAGCTTTGCTGCAATGCAATTGAGGGGAGATTTTGGTTTTAACAAGACTTCATGCCCGTCCGTTGCTACAGGTCGAAAAATTTGTCATGTAATTAAATCAAATCATAAAGAAGAGTGGAATTTTTCTTGTAATTTAGAAAACAACATCACATCAAAGTAACATGTAATGTAAAGAATGGAACAAAATAGAACATTTTAATAGACGGTGCAATCACAAAATATAATGTCTTTGCATTAGAAATAGAATGCAGTTCAAATAGCTTTTCAAACTTATTACAACAACTCTATTTACACATATTTACAGCAACTCTATCTGCACATATATGTACAATCATATTTACTATTATTTTTACACAAATACTAATCAGCTTTTTCAAACTTCCTTGGTCAACACACAGTTTGTTTTGCCCTCATATGCATGCTTCTATGTTACAAATTAAAAAATAGAAGTTGTTAATGTAAATCTAGGACATTTTAGTGAAGATGACGGAATAAAAGTGTAATTATTGAAAAGAGACTCTTAATTGCTAAAAACAATTGAATACTCAAGTACATTTAATATTTAATAGGGAAGTGTTATTGACACTCTAAAAATCTCGTTCTACATTCTTCAAAAGTGTATTTTTCTTTCTAAATATAGAAAGTTTGGAGTGTAAAATGAGATTTTTGGAGTGCTAATAGCAATTCCCTATTTAATATAGGTTAAAAACAAATATATGTTGATGTACGAATTTAAGTGTACCGGGAGAAGAAAAATAAAATTTCTTTTGCTCATGAATAATTAAAACTGACACATGTTAAAGCGTACATATGAAAGAAAGTGGACTTTTCAAATTGTTCATATCACATTTTCTATTAAGCTAACCACAATAGACTTTTCTATCACAATTATCTGCATCCAAGTATGAATAAAGGTTAACTAATGTGATTATTTTCATCCTATTGTAAATGGTAATATAACTTTCATTTTGCTGAATTGTAAACTGGGAGAAAAATATGCATAAATGTTGAAAAAGATTTATAAGATCTTAAAAATGTAGAAAATGAGTAGCAATTACCCTTCCAACTCAACTGGTAAACGAGAAGGAGGAAAAAGTAAACCAATGACTGAGTTTTCATTTTTTGTGTCATTGCTCTTATCATATTTGAAGCAAGCAACCAAATAGCATATAATAATTCCAATTTCGATCCACCCATCACAATCCCTGACCTGAAACTAATTACAACTCTGCAGTATGTACTTCCTAAAGAATATGAACATATAATTGTCACGCCTCGATCCCGACATACGTCTAGGATCGACACGTGACATAGAGACGTAGCGAACATCTTAACATACGTACAAGATACCAAATGAAATACTAGAACTAATACCACGAAATAAACACGATAGTGAACTCTCCCCCACAAAATATATACAAATCTGTACATTCAAAATACACAACCCTCATTAGGGCCAAGACATGACCATAGGCGGTCAAAATATAAGTTCCAAAAGAAATAATACAAAGAAAGATAAAAGGGCAACCTAATCACTCTAAATCTTTGATCTTTGCACTGCTACCCCTATCGGCTTCTTGTAAATCTCCTCAGGCTTGTCACATGTATAATTAGTGCCTAGACTTTGCGTTAACGCACCATAGCAAGTCAGAAAAGCTATCTTTTGTATGTCATCATCTTGGATCCTCAAGTGATGATAACCAATCCGCAAATCGAGCTTACTAAAATATTGAGCACCTTGAAGTTGGTCAAACAAGTCATCAATCCTCGATTGCGGGTACTTATTTCGCACTCACTCTATATCCATATTAAGCTCACGATAATTGATGCGCAAACACATGATCTGTCTTTTTTCTTCACAAAGAGAATGGCAGCACCCTAAGGTGAAACATTAGGTCGAATTAAACCTTTATCCATTAACTTCTGTAACTGCGCTTTGAGCTCTCTGAGTTTCAAAGGCGCCGTACGATATGGAGCCTTAGAAATAGGTGTTGTCTCTAGCATAAAGTCAATAGTGAACTCAATCTCCCTTACTGGATGCAAGCCATGTAACTCTGCAAGAAATACGTTAGGGAATTCTCCAACTACTGGAATGGCATTAATTTCACTATTTCCTTGCTCAACGGGTATGACATGAGCCAAGAAATAGGTGTTGTCTCTAGCATAAAGTCAATAGTGAACTCAATCTCCCTTACTGGATGCAAGCCATGTAACTCTGCAAGAAATACGTTAGGGAATTCTCTAACTACTGGAATGGCATTAATTTCACTATTTCCTTGCTCAACGGGTATGACATGAGCCAAATAATCCTGACATCCGTATCTCATGAGTCGTCTAGCCTTGGCAACTGATTCCATTACTGGTGGTGGAACAGGTTTATGAACTTTAGCAAACTAAAACGGAGGCCTGTCAAGTGGTCGAACAATTATCACTTTCTAAAAACAATTGAAATTCGCGCGATATATCGATAGGTAATCCATGCCTATAATGACATCTAGATCTCGCATCAGAATAATCATCAAATCTGCTGACATCTCACCCTGATCCACCTAAGCCTCACAAGATCAAACTACTTGGTCAACAATATGAGGCCTCGAAAAATGAGAGGAAATGGAGTATGTCACATCCATCGTCTCAATAGGTTTACCCAAAGACTTAACAAAAGTACTTGATGTAAAAGAATTCTCAGCTCCAAGATCAAACAATGGCCTAGCAGGGAGCGAATCAAGATGAATAGTACTTGTGACTATGTTAAGCTCAGCCTCGGCCTCCAAAGTGGATAATGCACAAACCTTGCCAACTCCATTGCTCCAGGCCCTAACTCGCTGAAAACTTCTTCCAAGCTGTCTTGTCGCTTTATTGTCTGGTCATTTGCTGTACAATCCTCTATTGAACTAAGTCAGAAGGTGTAACATCCCACATCGCCCAGGGGAGTGATCCTTAAAGGTATATTCCTATCCCTACCTAGCACGAGGCCTTTTGGGAGCTCACTAGCTTCAGGTTCCATGGGAACTCCGAAGTTAAGCGAGTAGCGCACGAGAGCATTCCCAAGATGGGTGACCCATCGGGAAGTTCTCGTGTAAGTTCCCAAAAACAAAATCGTGAGGGTGTGGTCGGGGCCCAAAGCGGACAATATCGTGCTACGGTGGTGGAGCAGACCCGGGAAGTGGTCAGCCCCGGGCCGGGATGTGACAATTTGGTATCAGAGCTTAACCCTGACCGCGTGTGTGCCGACGAGGACGTTAGGCCCCTAAGGGGGGTGGATTGTGACATCCCACATCGCCCAGGGGAGTGATCCTTAAATGTATATTCTCATCCCTACCTAGCACGAGGCCTTTTGGGAGCTCACTGGCTTCGGGTTCCATGGGAACTCCGAAGTTAAGCGAGTGGCGCACGGGAGTTATGCGGATGCATTTGCTCAACTTGAAAAACGTTTCAAGGACAGTATTGATAAGGTGCACAAGTGGAGGGATGCTTTGAAGGCTGCAGCCGATCTGTCTGGGTTTGATTATTCAAACAATCACGGGTAAGTAACTCATTATTTAACTTGTATAAAATTATAAATTTTATTTAAACTTGTGAGAATTTGATTAGATTTGGTAAAGCATTACTCTATTTTAAACTTGGGGAGGGGTGGGGTACTGTAGCTTTGCTGCAATGCAATTGATGGGAGATTTTGGTTTTAACAAGACTTCATGCCCGTCCGTTGCTACAGGACGAAAAATTTGTCATGTAATTAAATCAAATCATAAAGAAGAGTGGAATTTGTAATTTAGAGAACAACTTCACATCAAAGTAACATGTAATGTAAAGAATGGAACAAAATAAAACATTTTATTAGACGGTGCAATCACAAAATATAATGTCTTTGCATAAGAAACAGATGTAAAATGCAGTTCAATTAGCTTTTCAAACTTATTACAACAACTCTATTTACACTTATTTACAGCAACTCTATCTGCATATATATGTACAATCATATTTACTATTATTTACAAAATAGAACATTTTAAAAAATAGAAGTTGTTAACGTAAATCTAAGACATTTTAGTGAAGATGACGGAATAAAAGTGTAATTATTGAAGAGAGACTCTTAATTGCTAAAAACAATTGAATACTCAAGTGCATTTAATATTTAATAGGGAAATGTTATTAACATTTTAAAAATCTTATTATTTAAGTGTACCGGAAGGAGAAAAATAAAATTTCTTTTGCTCATGAATAATTAAAACTGACATATGTTAAAGCGTACATATGAAAAGAAAGTGGACTTTTCAAATTGTTCATATCACATTTTCTATTAAGCTAACCACAATAGACTTTTCTATCACAATTATCTGCATCCAAGTATGAATAAAGGTTAACTAATGTGATTATTTTCATCCTATTGTAAAATGGTAATATAACTTTCATTTTGCTGAATTGTAAACTGGGAGAAGAATATGCATAAATGTTGAAAAAGATTTATAAGATCTTAAAAATGTAGAAAAGGTGTAGCAATTACCCTTCCAACTCAACTGGTAAACGAGAAGGAGGAAAAAGTAAACCAATGACTGGGTTTTCATTTTTTGTGTCACTGCTCTTATCATATTTGAAGCAAGCAACCAAATAGCATATAATAATTCCAATTTCGATCCACCCATCACAATCCCTGACCTGAAACTAATTACAACTCTGCAGTATGTACTTCCTAAAGAATATGAACATATAATTGTCACGCCTCGATCCCGACATACGTCTAGGATCGACACGTGACATAGAGACGTAGCGAACATCTTAACATACGTACAAGATACCAAATGAAATACTAGAACTAATACCACAAAATAAACACGATAGTGAACTCTCCCCCACAAAATATATACAAATCTGTACATTCAAAATACACAACCCTCATTAGGGCCAAGACATGACCATAGGCGGTCAAAATATAAGTTCCAAAAGAAATAATACAAAGAAAGATAAAGGGGCAACCTAATCACTCTAAATCTTTGATTTTTGCACTGCTACCCCCATCGGCTCCTTGTAAATCTCCTCAGGCTTGTCACATGTATAATCAGTGCCTAGACTTTGCGTTAACGCACCATAGCGAGTCAGAAAAGCTATCTTTTCTATGTCATCATCTTGGATCCTCAATTGATGATAACCAATCCGCAAATCGAGCTTACTAAAATATTGAGCACCTTGAAGTTGGTCAAACAAGTCATCAATCCTCGATTGCGGGTACTTATTTCGCACTCACTCTATATCCATATTAAGCTCACGATAATTGATGCGCAAACACATGATCTGTCTTTTTTCTTCACAAAGAGAATGGCAGCACCCTAAGGTGAAACATTAGGTCGAATTAAACCTTTATCCATTAACTTCTGTAACTGCGCTTTGAGCTCTCTGAGTTTCAAAGGCGCTATACGATATGGAGCCTTAGAAATAGGTGTTGTCTCTGGCATAAGGTCAATAGTGAACTCAATCTCCCTTATTGGAGGCAAGCCATGTAACTCTGCAAGAAATACGTTAGGGAATTCTCTAACTACTGGAACGGCATTAATTTCACTATTTCCTTGCTCAACGGGTATGACATTAGCCAAATAACCCTGACATCCGTATCTCATGAGTCGTCTAGCCTTGGCAACTGATACCATTACTAGTGGTGGAACAGGTTTATGAACTTTAGCAAACTAAAACGGAGGCCTGTCAAGTGGTCGAACGGTTATCACTTTCTAAAAACAATTGAAATTCGCGCGATATATCGATAGGTAATCCATGCCTATAATGACATCTAGATCTCGCATCAGAATAATCATCAAATCTGCTAACATCTCACCCTGATCCACCTAAGCCTCACAAGATCAAACTACTTGGTCAACAATATGCGGCCTCGAAAAATGAGAGGAAATGGAGTATGTCACATCCATCGTCTCAATAGGTTTACCCAAAGACTTAACAAAAGTACTTGATGTAAAAGAATTCTCAGCTCCAAGATCAAACAATGGCCTAGCAGGGAGCGAATCAAGATGATAGTACTTGTGACTATGTTAAGCTCAGCCTCGGCCTCCAAAGTGGATAATGCACAAACCTTGCCAACTCGCTGAGAACCCATTTGAGACGTCCCAACTCCATTGCTCTAGGCCCTAACTCGCTGTGAACTTCTTCCAAGCTGTCTGTCGCTTTATTGTCTGGTCATTTGCTGTACAATCCTTTACTGAACCAAGTCAGAAGGTGTAACATCCCACATCGCCCAGGGGAGTGATCCTTAAATGTATATTCCTATCCCTACCTAGCACGAGGCCTTTTGGGAGCTCACTGGCTTCGGGTTCCATGGGAACTCCGAAGTTAAGCGAGTAGCGTACGAGAGCATTCCCAAGATGGGTGACCCATCGGGAAGTTCTCGTGTGAGTTCCCAAAAACAAAATCGTGAGGGCGTGGTCGGGGCCCAAAGCGGACAATATCGTGCTACGGTGGTGGAACAGGCCCGGGAAGTGGTCCGCCCCGGGCCAGGATGTGACAATTTGGTATCAGAGCCTAACCCTGACCGCATGTGTGCCGACGAGGACGTCGAGCCCCTAAGGGGGGTGGATTGTGACATCCCACATCGCCCAGGGGAGTGATCCTTAAATGTATATTCTCATCCCTACCTAGCACAAGGCCTTTTGAGAGCTCACTGGCTTCGGGTTCCATGGGAACTCCGAAGTTAAGCGAGTAGCGCACGAGAGCATTCTCAGGATGGGTGCCCATCAGGAAGTTCTCGTGTGAGTTCCCAAAAACAAAACCGTGAGGGCGTGGTCGGGGCCCAAAGCGGACAATATCGTGCTACGGTGATGGAGCGGGCTCGAGAAGTGGTCCGTCCCGGGCATGGATGTGACAGAAGGTGCTCTAGAAGGCCTACTCTACGCCGAATATGCTACTGAGCCCCCAGCACTAGTAGCAGGTCTACCAGCTCTGTTAGCAGTAGTCTGTGGGCAATCTTAAAATAGTGACCAGTCTTGCCGCACTGGTACAAGTCTTAGAACCATCTCTACATGTGTCATAGTGTCGACGTCCTCAGTGAGTACAAATCCATGGAAGTGTCTTCTGTGGCTGGTATCGAGATCCTCTAAAATAAATTTTTGAATGCCTTTCAGAAAAAGTTTGGGGTCCTGCGCTATGAGTACCTCCTCGAAAACGACTCTGAAGACTCACCTCAACAGAATGTTGAGAGCCTTCTCTAACTTAGCTTGGAAATCTCCATGAAAAGTACCCTGATTTTCTCTATGTGACAATCCATGAGAACCACCAAACGAGAATCTCTGGCATTTTTTGGATATACCCGAAAACGCATCAGATGACTGGCCCTCTGACCAGGCCCTCTTCCTTTGTTTTCCACTCGCTCGTGCCTCCATTCCTCATTAAGCTCTGTTGTGCATGCACGATCAATCGACTGAGCGAATAAAGGCAATCCCTAACAGATAACAGATTCCTTATACTAGGCTTGAATGCCATAATAAGTTTCTTCGTTTTCTTTTCCTCATAGAGGTGTTGAGAGAAACAGTAAAGTTAACTAAAACGGGCCACATGATCAGCAACTGTGGTGGTGCCCTGCTCAATAGTGGCGAAATCTACCTCCAGCTCATCCTAAAATGACTCTGAAAAATATTGCCCAAAGATGCAGTCTGAAATCACTCCTAAGTTAAGGGTCCTCCGACTACCAATAAAGAACGAGTGATATGATGCCACTCGTAAGCCTACCTGTTAACATATACACTGCAAGGTCTACCTACTCCTCAGGTGAGCATCACAAAACGGTGAAAACTCTGGCGATCCAATTGGTCCAAGACTCAGTCGTTCATATATCAGTACTACCATTGAATGAAAGCAGTTTATAAGTACGAAACTCTCCATATAGAGACTTCTCCCTACTAGAAGTCGCACGTACGTGAGCCTGCATCAACTGTGTCAAATCATCAATGGCCTAAAAAGCACCATCGGGTCCATCATAATCGTGGCTAGCCTTTTTAATCAATAGCAGAAGTGTCGAGGACATCATCCCCAAGCGGCCGAATAACACCATGTGGGGTCGTCATAATATATCTAGTGCATGGAAGAATTCAACATAAGCATATACACGAAATTAGAGAAACGAATCCACACGACCTAATTAAGGTATAGTACCCAACCTACCCAAGGCTTCCTCACTCTAAGGTTAAGGTATGGGAACCTAAACCTAAGCTTTGATACCACCAAAAGTTGTCACACCCCGATCCCGACGTACGTCCAGGATTGACACATGACACAGGTACGTAGGGGACGTCTTAACTACTTACAAGATACTAAATGAAATACTAGAACTAATACCTCAAAATAAACATGATAGTGGGCTCTCCCCCTCAAAATATATACAAATTTGTACTCTCAAAATACACAACCCTCACTAGGGCCAAGACATGCCCATAGACACTTAAAATATAAATCACAAAAGAAATAATACAAGGAGGGATAAAGGAGCAACCTAATCGCTCCAAGTCTCTGATCTTTGCACTTCTACCCCACCGGTTCCTCATAATCTACTCAAGCCTGTCACATGTACAATCAGTGCTAAAGTCCACGTTAGCGCACCCTAGCATGAATATCAAGACGTCACGTACTATCGTCGCCTAGGTCGAGGTCCAATTTGGCCGAGAAGTGGCCTGAAATCACCCAAGACCATCGGAATCCTAAGATGAGTGTTCTTCGAACCCCGAAACTCCAACCAATGCTTAGGCCTTGTTTTTAGGTTCAAGGACGGTCTATTGGTGGCGCTGGTCGAAAGAACAAGCTTCAGAAACGGCCAATCGCCATCGAATATTCACGGACCCGTTAGTGGAGTTTTTCGTGAAACCAAGGCAAAAATCTCGTCGAGCTTGTGGTGGAAGGTCGAGAAAAGCCAAACAAAATTGACAGAAATCACGCCGAAAATTGCAGAGGGTTCGAGTCAGAAGTCGGGTCACGAAGGGGGAATGGGTCATGCTAGGTTCCCTCCTCTCTTCTCTGATTGGTCACCTCACTGTCACTCGCTCTCTCTCCAATTAGCCATTCCCCTAAATTAATGGGAGCTTCTAGTTATATATTAAACATTTTTATTTTATTTTCTTAATCGAACTTCAAGTGTCCGTAACATCTTCGTTATCACTCCAATTTGCGAACGGTTTTCGCCCACGCGCTCATGGAATTGAGTTTGATTCTAAAACACAAATTGTGACCTCGAAAGGTCTACAAATTTTGAAAGATTAATTACAAAAAGTCCTACCTTGTAACTATACAATTCAAATTCTAAAATTGACAGAATTAGAATAAAATAAAAATAATGTAAATACGAAATATGGAATTAAATAATAAAATGCATAATTAATAATGAAATTCTAGGAACGGAATTTCACATATACAATAAAGCAGCATGTTTGGTGAAATTGAGGGTTGTTTAATTGAACACCCAAAACGTTCAATCTTATACAAATGAATAGTGTTGCGACCTATAACCCATTCAAACATTCAATAAAGCAGCTCCCTCTCTTTCTCTCTATGTAACCCTTCCACTTACTGAATCACAAGTCTCGTACGAACAGGTCATACTTGCCCATGTTCACGGCTCCATCTCTCCTTCTCTCTCTGTAACACTTTCCTCAATCTCACCGACTGCAACCCGCACCTCTACCTATTCTAAAATGATAATTGCCTAGCCACCTTTTACCTCAGACCGTTGGATCTAAAATCCGGATGGGCATTACGGTCATTTGACATCTAATCAGGCCTTCCTCCTTAGCCACCCATAACAAAGCCCACTTTAGGCCCAAACACACCAATCATACCCCCGCGTATAGGAATTTTTTTCTCAAAGGATAGAAATTCTTTAAATAAATCAAAATCCCCAATTGAAATTGCCCTATAGCTTAGCTACAAGGCCACCCCTCCCAACTTTAGGCTAGGGTAATTACGAAATTGCCATTGCTTTGTGGGTTTGGGGAGGGGTGGCCTTGTTCCTTGGCCAAGCATATAATTAGTTGTAGTTCATTTAAACGTATCTGATTTCTCTTTAGGGTTAATGATTTCATTAGTGGGACAAGTTCATTTTCTTCAAAAAGATAGTGGGTTGAATGCTATAATACGCAAGCTTACTTAGTTGTATTGTTGTTTACCTAAAAACAAATGTTTTTCTATTTTAATATTGCTTTAATTTTATTTTGAGGAGAAAATACACAAGATTTCTTTTCTTGCACAAATATACGGTGTTAAAACTTTTAGTATATTTCTTTTTTTACGTGACAACTTTTGCGACTAGCCTTTAAGGCTAACTATTGTTTTTTTCTACATAATCATACATGTATATATGCCAGGACGGAGGCAGATCTAATTAAGAATGTTGTCGATCAAATTTGGACAAACTTGAATTGTGAATCATCATGTGATTTAGATGGCTTGGTTGGAATTGAAAGCCGCATTCAACAAATTGAATTGCGACTGGGCATTGACTCAAAGGACGCTTGCATCACTATAGGTATTTGGGGCATGGGTGGTATTGGCAAGACCACCCTTGCTGAAACTGTATTTCACAAACTCTCTTCTAAATTCAAAGCTTCTTGTTTTCTTAAAAATGTCAGGGAGAAATCAGAACAACCAGATGGACTAGATTGCTTGCAAAAGAAACTTCTAAGTGACATTTTCAAGGGAGAAAGTCTATCCATAGAATCAACTATTGTTCGAAGGAGGCTTAGCCGCACAGAGGTCCTCATTGTTATTGATGATGTGAGTAGTCCAATGCAAATGCAACGTTTAGCTGGTGATCTTCAACGGTATGGCACTGGAAGTAGAATCATTATCACAAGTAGAGATAAGGACACACTTAGACAAATTGTTGAAGAGGAGAATATCTACGAAGTTGAGGTATTAAAATCGGATGACGCTTTTCAGCTCTTCTGTTTGCATGCTTTCAAGAATAACACTACTCGTAGAACAGATTATGAGGAGTTATCAAAAAAGATCGTGGATTATGCCAGAGGCGTTCCCTTAGATCTTATAGTTCTGGGGTCCTTATTTTTCAATTGCCAGAGTAAAGAAGAATGGGAAGATGAATTCAACAAATTAAAACGATTTCCTAGACAAGATATCCAGAAAGTGTTGAGAATAAGTTACAATAGATTGGAAGAAAATGAGAAGCAGATATTTTTGGATATAGCATGTTTTCATAAAGGGAAGGAAGTGAGTGAGGTAGAACGAATGTTACATGTTCGTGGATTCTTTGCAACATCGGGAATTAGAAATCTCCATGATAGATCTCTCATATCAATTTATTCAGACAAATGGGTAAGGAAAGTCATAGAGATGCATGATTCACTACAAGAAATGGGAAGGACAATTGTTCAAGAACAATGTATTGAAGATCCTGGTAAACGGAGTAGGTTGTTCACGAATGAGGAAATCTATCGTGTACTGAATAGTAACATGGTAAGAGCCAAATGCATTCAATGCTTTCTTTTCTTTTCTGTTTTTTTAAAGAAAAAATAAATAGCAAATCTGAGAAGATAACACAACAAAATAAAACTCATTTATAAAAAGAAGTCAGATTCTTAAAATATTAATTTTATTGAATTTTATTGCAAAAATGCTATTCTTAATATTTATTTATACCATTATTTGGATCATCTCTCTAATAGAGATGAGACCTCCATGCAATGACGGATCCTATCTTTATTAGAAAGATAGTACAAGTGATGGTACAACTAAGTGATAAGAAAACTCTACTATTTTTTTATTGTGATAGGAAGTCTATGTAGTCTTTGTTATTTTATTAAAATTAGCTTTGATATTTTACTAGAAACTTGTACATCATTACCATCGTAAATACTCTAGATTATTCTATAACTTTGTTGAATTCTTTTTCTAAATAAGCATTACATTTTAACATGTTGAAAATATATACATTTAAACTTTGTTCTTATTGTCAGGAAAGTCCAATTGTTGAAGCCATATTCCTTAAATGGCATAAGAGTGAAGAGCGACGACCATGGAACTTCAAATTGATGTCAAACCTAAGAATGCTATTTGTGCATAATTCTCAAATAATTGACTTCAAACCCACCACTTCTGTAGACCTTCCCGATGCTCTTCGCTACCTTGACTGGTTAGGATATCCACTAGAATCTTTGCCGTCAAAATTTTCGCCGGAAAATCTAGTTGAGCTTCATATGCCATGGAGCCGAGTTAAGAAGCTCTGGAAAGAAGACCAGGTATATTATATGCCTATTCTAACTCTTGTATAAAATTTAGTGTAGAAATCATATTAATTCTTGATATTTCTCTCTACTCTTGTTACAGAGACTTGTCAACTTACAAGTGCTCGATCTGCATGGCTCTATAGATCTAACTGAAGTTCCAAATCTCTCTGGGAGTCTAAAAATTGTGGACATAAATCTCTCTGGCTGTGGAAGTTTGGTTGAAATTCCAGAGATGCCAGGAAATATTAAATACTTGGATTTATCTTACACTGGTATAAAGGAGTTGACCCAGCCAGTTTGGTCTCACGAAAAAATTTCTTACTTGAATATAAGTCATTGCGGAGACCTTGAGAAACTTCCAAGCAACATGTGTAAGCTGAAAGTCTCTGGTTCTTTTAATCTAGATGGGTGCACATCTCTTGCCGAGTTTTCTGAGCTTCCGAGGGATATAACTAAATTATCATTGATTGATTGCAACAAACTTGTGAGTCTACCAACCAACATTTGTAAGTTGAAATATCTCAAGGAACTCAATCTCTCCGGCTGCTCTAAACTTGAAAACTTTCCAAAGATCTTGGAGCCAGTGGAACATTTGGAGTCTTTAAATTTAAGTGGAACAACGGTTCAAGAGCTACACTCATCAATCGAGTTTCTCCATGCTCTCAAAATACTTGATCTACATGGTTGCAAAAGGCTTTCAAGCATTCCAAAGAGCATTTGTAAGTTGAAATATCTCGAGAAACTCGATCTCTCTTGGTGCCCCAAACTTGAAAACTTCCCAGAGATCTTGGAGCCAATGGAACATTTGGAGTCTTTAAATTTAAGTGGAACAACGGTTCAAGAGCTACACTCATCAATCGAGTTTCTCCATGCTCTCAAAATACTTGATCTACATCGTTGCGAAGGGCTTTCAAGTATTCCAAAGAGCATTTGTAAGTTGAAATATCTCGAGGAACTCGATCTCTCTTGGTGCCCCAAACTTGAAAACTTCCCAAAGATCTTGGAGCCAATGGAACATTTGAAGTCTTTAAATTTAAGTGGAACAATGGTTCAAGAGCTACACTCATCAATCGAATTTCTCCATGCTCTCAAAATACTTGATCTACATCGTTGCGAAGGGCTTTCAAGTATTCCAAAGAGCATTTGTAAGTTGAAATATCTCGAGGAACTCGATCTCTCTTGGTGCCCCAAACTTGAAAACTTCCCAGAGATCTTGGAGCCAATGGAACATTTGAAGTCTTTAAATTTAAGTGGAACAATGGTTCAAGAGCTACACTCATCAATCGAATTTCTCCATGCTCTCAAAATACTTGATCTACATCGTTGCGAAGGGCTTTCAAGTATTCCAAAGAGCATTTGTAAGTTGAAATATCTCGAGGAACTCGATCTCTCTTGGTGCCCCAAACTTGAAAACTTCCCAAAGATCTTGGAGCCAATGGAACATTTGAAGTCTTTAAATTTATGGGGAACAGCGGTCACTGCTCCAGCGCGAAACGCGTTTTTATAACCACTGACAGATGTAAACAAGATCATAAAGTTAAGGGGTAGGGCAACTTATAGCTCCCAAAAGTCATGTTCATGGTCATACTATATAGGCTCATAACTGTAACCATGGACAGTGGTCATGCCTGCACTATCAGCTCGAAATGTCATATGCAATAACGACATGTTCTCTTTCAAGATAATGTGGCATGATGGATGGGTACTCATTCTATCAATCAAGATTGCACATTCACACATGACTCAATTTAATTGTATTTATGGATGTTTGTATGTCAATTGGCCAGCAAAAAATTACACCCAATTACAAATAAAATTTTATATCTACAAAGTACCCATGGCATACGTAAGTTTTTACATCTAAATACGAACACATTATGCAAAGGACGAACATCCAGCGGCAAAGCATCTCGCAGAAAAATATGCTTGATCTAGCCTGTTATGTTGAGGAATTCAAGCTAAACTCCAACAACTAAAACATTGTCAATCATCCACCACCCAGAAGAGGAAAAATAAACAACTTTAACTCCGGGATAGGGATAGTACAAGTTTTGCAAAGATACATCAGTTCAGTTAACAGCTAACATGAAGAGAAACAAACTGAAGAAAAGAGCTTCAATAAGCACATATATGGCACCTGTGCCTGTAAAACACAAGCCAAAAGATGAATAAAAAGAAAATAGGACTACCTCTTGGTCGTCCCTATTTCAGAAATAGGTCGCGGGTTTGTGCACCAGTGATCTTCCCATCTGTATGCGTCAACTTTCACAAAAATATTGGTGTACTTCTGAACATCAGTTTGCGTCAAACTAAGCCATGATATATGAGACTGACTAGAAGCAGAGTTCCCAGCACTGGATGAAACTCTAGTAGCACCTGCTGGTTTGCTTTTGCAAATGACTGGGCCTGCTGAGGCTGGCTACCAACCTGGGTACTTGGGCAAGCTGAAGACTGGGTCCCAACAAATACTGGCACAATGGCTGATGAGATAAGTACGTTGCCAGGAGGAAAATTCTGCTTTGGTTAAGATGGGGTTGCAGAAAACACATCATCTCCAAACGATGAGTCGGGTGTTGCTGCAAGATTTATCTTGGGTGCAAGTATTCTAGCTTCAGCCGGGCCATATCATGCTGCCTTCACCATTTCTGGCGTAAGTTCTCTCTTACTTGTGCCACAGTGACAATTCTAAGGGCATTGTAAAACTCTGCCTGACCAAGGAAACTAGTCTGCCCCGGGTCTGCACGTGCCCAAATCTGCCAATAAATATAAGCAACCAATATTAAACTAAAACATATCCTCGTCCAAAACAAAAACTAGAACATATCCAAACTTCTGTTACAAAAAGATAATGAGAAAGTGCACTCATATAATCAATCTTTAACATATTATGCCCCCGGTTATCATTTGATTTGGAAATTCCTTCAGCAAAACAAATATAAAGCTCCAAGAACCTATTTGTCAATGTGGTCATGACCCAAGAACATTTCCCTTGTATGCTACAATCCTAACTATTCCGTAGTCATCTTATGCTGCAGGTTTTCACTACTACACAATTGTAATGTAATAAACAATTCTTGGGTCATATAAGTTTATAACACATTTCTAAAGTCTGCTTACCAACTGAGGTCGAAAGAATACACCAAAAAGTAAATTAATGACCTGATAACACAACTATCTCAAATTCACTAACTGTTGTATTAAGTCCTTCATCTTCTTATTTTCTACCATTTGAACATCAATTCCGCATTATACTACGATCGGGAGGGGGCTAATTCAAACCCCTCGGGTAAAATAAGAACAGCCCTGACGCAAAATAAAAATCTCAGCTTAGATCAGCGAATTACAACATCCCAAGCTCACATTAACCACTTCAACTACAATTAGACTAAAAATTCAAAATCAATCTGATTTGGAACACATTTCCACCAGCATAAATCCCGATCAACCACTATAATTACACAAATATAATCATACACACTACAATATACATCCACTTATACATATAAATATATATAATATATATACACACAAGCATATACATGTAGAGAGAAACTGCGCAAGACCTGTTTGGGGAGACCGGAGCCCTGGAAGAAAGCGACTGCTTCATTGCCACTAATCTGGCCATTGCGTTCCAAACTGGCTCGTCGAAAATACACATTGAAGAGATCCACTTTTGTCGATTGGTTCTACGCCGACGCAATCGCCACCGTCGGATTGCGATTCGCGGAAAATTAGACCAAGGAATCAATCGAGACCTCCACGCGCTCAGGCTGCCGTACACGTGAGTAACGCCTGGAAGAATCAGAAAACCACGAACTCGAAGGACAAAGGTTTCGATGCCTTAGAAAACGACGACGTACAACAGGGATTTGGTAGCCCTAAACGCTAAACTTTCAATATGTTAAATGTCTTATGCTTCTAAAACCAAAACCAGTATGCAATCTGACATGCGTATGAGGAAATTAGCATCATTGAGTGCTTGTTCCTAGGACACAACTGGGGGTGTTTATTCCTACCAATAATGTGACCGTATGACAGATTTTAGGCTAGGCTTATTCCAGTTCCTCCTACAGATGTCAGATTGCATGCTGAGTTCAATCTGAGAAACATAAGATGCCTTCAAGTCACCAACCAACTGTTTGAAAGTTTTAGATTGCCGTTACGAAGTAAAGAGAACAGTCCATATGAAAAAACCTTTGAGTAGTTTCCTTGCTTGCACATGCCAACAAGCCTTTGAGTAGCCCCTATGAAAAAACGCCAACATAGATGGGAGGAAGAAGAAAAGGCATGCGCAAGCAAGTGAACAATGAGCATACATGGCTGATAAGCCCACGACCGCTCCTGAGGGTAGCCGGAGTAGGCGGGGCAGTCTAGGACCCCACTTCGGAGGGGATCCCTAATTATACATACATACATATATATATATGGGGATAATGTTAGGGATATCAAAATTTTAAAGGAGTTTTAATGAAACACTCCCGGTATTGTTCACTTTAATGAAAAATGACAATTTTACTCTAAAAAGTCACTCCCGGCACTATTCACTTACAACACCTTTTTATCCTTTTAATTAAAACTCAAAGTTTTAAAGCCCTTTTCATTAGTTGTCCAAAATTTTAAACCAAATTTGAAAATCAAATGATGTGTCACCAATATGAAAGACGCACGTTAATCAACACTTAAGTGATAATCCAATTATCAACAACCACATATTTGGTTTGCAAATTGGTTTAATATTTTGGTTTCCCTAGCATTACCTTATATATAAACTAATATTACAAACTTTGTCCATTCAAATAAGAAGTTTACCGACTTTGAGCCATTGATTATTTGCTTATAGAATTTTGTTAACCATACCAGTTACCATTGCCTCTGCAAAAAGAAGTTTTTCAAAATTAACGTTCATCAAATCTTTTCTTCGATCAACTATGTCACAAGAACTATTGAATGAGTTAGCTATTTTATGAATTACAAAAAGAATTGGTTGATTAGATTGTGTAAACTTAATTAGTACATTTGCGTCATAAAAAGCAAAACGTGTAATATTTAAGTAATGTTTGTATATCTTTCTTCAATTTATCATTGGTCTTACTCTAAAAACTAATTGTATAAACTACCATGTGAAGTTGCATTCCATAACATATATTTAGAGTTGCTGGTGACCCAACAAACCCAACAATGCTCGGGTATTCCATAACTTTTATACACGTTAATTTAGTTTCATATCTAATGTTTAAGAATCATTTTGATACCCATAAACACAATGTATGAGTTATCAAAGCTTCTTCAAATCACAAAGAAAGAACTATGCACAAGTGGGAGAGTACAAGTGCACCTTAAATGCTTCCTTGATAGCCATATCGACTAAAAATTCCTCGGTCAAGATTTTAAGCTCATCCACCCTGCACCACAAACAAATGTAGACAACCATTAACAAACCTACTCCACTTTTGTTCATGGCCAGCGATTCTTCAAAAATGATGCCCACGCATCCTATTCCAAACCGCAGTGCCAAGGCAACTCCTGTATCATGAGTTTGTCTCATCAACTTAGCGTTGTAACAAAGCATCCTTTTTAAATGTGTACAATTATATGCTGAAGAAGTACTTACGAAATCATGGGAAAGGCACTTTTCAACAACCATGCTGGAAATAAAATGTTATCTAATTGGCAGCAACCCAGGATTGGTTAATTGCCACCACCCAGTTCCAGCTGCTGCAAATACTGCAATAGCTTTTAGCAAATCAGGCTTTGGCCGGTAACTGGCCTCAAATTCTTGCGAGCTCGTTTCATCAACCGAACATAAAGGATCACATGATCAAGAACTTAGAGTTCAACTCCTAATAATATGTTAAAAGGTGATTCAAAACTTTCAAGTTTCGACAATTCAGTTTTCAAACAGCATCTAATAGGCAATCCATGAGAAACCCATGTCTTAACCTATTAGGCAATTCCATTCCCATGAACTAATTACTAAAATTATGTGCAGGTGCAACTGATACATTTCAAATACTCAAATCAACGACTTGATCAAACGGGCTTTCAAAGTGCTAATTTTCACAAGTTTATCCGAGTATATTAAACTTTTCAGGAATTACACAATTCAAATTTAGACAAAGTTTGCCAAAATTAACCAAAAAAATATGGCAAAAATAGCAAAACTAACAACTGGGCACGGTTAAAAACGAGAGCTCCTGCTCCTCTTCCTTATCGCCACCAATATTGTTGGCACCGCCGCTGCCATTCTCCGACAACATCTATCTGCTGCTAGCGTGAAACTTTAAGCTTTAATCACTAGCGGAGTGCAGAAAAATCAATTCAAAAAGAAAATCCTAGAAATCACTTATGTTGTTATGGAATAAGAAAAGAGAGAAGATGATTCTAGTGCCTTACGAAATTTTCGATTGCGCTTCAGGATCTCCGATTGTGGTCCATAATTTCCGATGATTCTCCCAAAATCTCTGATTGGATGGATTAGGGCTCTCATTTTTCAGTCGAATATGAAAGATGAGAAGGTGGAGGGAGAGAAGAATGAAAGGCGCGCCCGTTCTTTTTCGTCTGAAAAATAAAGCGCCTAATTGAAAACTTAAAACAACATTTAGGCGCTATATTATTATCAGCGACACCATTTGCGACGCATTTAAAAATCCTTGGATCCCTTACATCAGGACCCCTGGATAATTCTGGATACACCAATGGATGGTGCCATGGTGGTGTTCAAAGAAAATGAAAATTGGGTAAAGTACGAAAAACTACTTAGTGTCACGATATTTTCATACCTTATTTTTTTAAATTGATAATGTTATATCTTATCTTACGAATTTGTGCCAATATGTCAGTTTTTCTGTTAATTTTTTTGTTAAATGCTGACATAGCTAAAAACGGGACCCATTTTTATTAAAACAATAATTAAATATTAAAAAATTAAAAAAAAAACAATAAACAATAAACCAAAAAAAAAAACAATCAACCCGTGTGCCCCCTCCCCAAAAACCCAGATCCCCTTCTCTGAGTTCTCCCCCACCCAACCCTCTATCTCATCTTTCGCCTCTCTCTCTTCTCGCTCCCTACAACCTGCATCCCTAAAATTCCAAAACTCAGAAACCATTCCCACCTGAGTCGTCACCGTCGGCGAGCTCTCAATCCTTTGAGCCGACGATCGCCGATTAACCCCAAACCTTTCCCCGCCACTCCCGCTAGCGTCAGAGCTCTCCTTCTGGCACCACATGTGCTTCTGGTTCCCCCACTTCAAATACCAAGTCAAATTGTAATATCCCAAAAGGCAAATATAATCTACATGCAGATTATACAGAAACAAATAGACTCGTTACTGTGCTTCCTTAATTGTGCATGTGCTCACACAACACAAAATGTCACATTAAATTCAACAATTTTCAATATTAAAACCATTAACATAGAAGAAGTAGTTCAATGTTTTATCTATTCATTATTTCTTAAATGCAAATTAGATGTTCTCCGTGCAATTCTTAGTTTGAGCACTGGATTGAGGTTTATTTGGTAAAGGCCTAAGAAATAAAAACCACAGGAATTTTTTTTTCATTTTCTAGGGCATTAAATGTATCATATTCACACCTAAAAAATGGAAGCAAAGAAAAGAAAAGAAATGGTTGAAAATGTACATAAAGAGAAAAAAGAAATTTTTATGTAAAAGAAATAGTTGAAAACTACATTATGGAAGAGAAGACGAATTAGAGAGACAAACCATGTGGCATATGCTATCTGATAGTTGAAGAGCTTCATCCCACTTGTTAGCTTTAATAAGCCCTTTAATAAGATGAAAGAATGTATCCAGCTCTGGAAAACCACCATGCCTTATCATGTCTGCAAACATCTCCAGTGCCTTATTATTTGCATGTGAAAGACTCTCAGTCAATGAAATGTACATATTCTTGTTCACAGATGTAAACGGTGAAGATGATGAAATCTCTTCAAGCAGCTCAAGAGCCACTTCCAACCTTCCAGCCTTTGCAAAATTATCAATCAGAACTTTGTATATGTGAGTAATTGGCACTGTGTCACATTCACTCATCTCATTTAAAAGCCCAAGAGAGGTCATGAACTCTCGATTGTAACCTTCAATAACTTTACGGTAGCCTGCCATATGCTTAGGCCAATGTGTTTGTTTCATTTCATCCAAAAGCTTATGAGCTTCATCCAGTAGTCCAGTTCAACAGCAATGATTTATCAAAACCCCATAGGTGACAAAATTTGGAGCACAACCCTTAGAGCTCATTTGTTTAAAAAGCTCAAGACACTTTTCGATATTACCTGCTTTCCCAATGCCATCTATCATTGCAGTGTAAGTCACAACATTTGGATAACACCCTTTTTCTTCCATCGTCAGCATAAGCTTATAGGCTTCATCTGTTTTCCCAACTTTACACAGGGCATCAATCATCTCTGTGTAGATAACATCTGGTGCACACGAGTTTTCTAACATTTTGGACAAGACTTTTAAAGCGAGATCCAGTCTTTTATCCTTAAACGGTCTATCAATCAAAGAACTGTACGTATACACATTTGGACTGTACCCTTGCTCTGACATCTTAGCAAACACCTCTTGTGCTTCATCTAGCTTCCCATACTTGCAAAATCCTTCTATAAGAGCATAAAAAATAATATGGTTCAGTCACGGGCCTCCTTAACCTTGTGTGCTATGCATAAACCATCCACCAAAGCCCCATAAGTATAGACATTAGGTTCTCTAATACTCTGATCATCACTCCCAAAATACTTATCAACATCAGGGATGTCCACATTACCTCTCATTCTCTCATATATCTGGCAAGCCTTTTCAATTCTACCAGCTTTACAATGACCATCAATTAAAGCAGTATAAGTAACAACATTAGGATTGCAACCTTCAATCAACATCATCTCAAACAGTTGATCTGCATCAGACACCTTCTTTGCATTAAGGTACACATGTATAAGAGCAGTATATGTCACCACGTTTGGAGCACAACCATTTTGTATCATTTCATTAAACCAGCTCCGAGATTGTTCAAAAGGCCAGCTTTACAAAAACTATCAATTAAAATAGTATAGGTATAGACGTCAGGAACAATACTATTCCTTTTCATTTCTTTAAACAACAAAAATGCTTGTTCTACCTTGGAGGCATTACACAAAAAGCCAATAGCATTAGCTTCCCGATCCATGTAGGCTTTCTCGATCCATGTACGATTAGCATCAGATTTGGATTAGATGGGACTAAGACCTAGAAATAGGGATGATAATTCTAACCGTTAAACCCGATAACCGTGAATAACCATCTGAATAGAACGGATTTGGATATGGAAGTTTGGGTATATTTTGGATATGGGGAAAAACCGTTTATATTATTCGGTTATGGTTTTGGATATGGTTATAGGGATCCCCAAACCGTATCCATAACCGAATCCGACCCGAATAGTAAACAATATAATTCATATATAATATAATAGTATAATATATATATATGTATGTAGTTGTATATCCATTATTCTCCGAACCATTACCTTGAGAATACACAAGTTGCATTTTGTAGGAAAGTAAAGTTTTGAAGTGCTTATGAGAGATATCAAAGACAAGCCAACATCATCAATGTTTTAATTTTTATACTCAACAAAATCCATTCATTGGATCATTTTATACATCAAATGTTTAATAATGAAATTAATACCTACAAACTTATAATGTCTCAACTAAACGAATATATTTTTTGTATTGACGAAGATGGATATACCCATTATGATACACCCTGACCTGGAATGTCCACCTAGACTCCGAATCAAGCTGTGCTAGCCGTCATCAAGAGGGTGACGAAGCCATAAAGTGTAGTGATGTGGAAAAGTGTAGTGATGTGAAAAACAAGGGTGAGTGGGCCTAAAAATAAAGTTTTGTAAAAACCTTTTTGAAAACATAATAACCCCTCACCGTAAAACAAGTATAGTTTCCAAATATAAATATTACGTTTAGTAAGAAAATATTTACTGAGCCTGCAACATCTTGAGAACTCAAAATGTCAGTAAAATTCGTAAAGAAGCATATAACTTCTAGAAATCACCAAATCTTGAAGAAATAAATATATCACATCGAGTGCTCATCGACACAAGCTGACACACGAGTTCATGCAAAGGTATTTTGACATGAATAGGATTAGGTGTAATAAGGATTTACGCTCTAGTACTACAATCACGTGAAGACTGGCGCTACAAGCATCACATACGATTCCTAATTGCCTATAGCAATCTAGGACAGGACTGGCACCTACAATGGATCCAAAGTGAGCGTGTGGTGCAATGTGAACATACACGTGAAAGACTAGCCCTAGCCCAGGCGAGTACTAACACCAGTGCAGCACACAATGAGCAGATAACGTAAATATGATTATGCCACAGTAAATTGATAATTTGATAATTCTAATCAATACAATGATATTCATTACCGTAAATTCAATTTAAGGCATAAATAAGACTATGCATACATGTACATCCCGTAGGGTGTTGTATAATTTCATAATTTCCTTTAATACGCTAATTCTTATACATGTCACGATAATCTACGCATATTGTAGAAAACTCTTTATGAAATGTGTAAATGGAAACTAACAAATATATACACACACACACACACACTATAGAAAAGAAAAAACCCACTCACAGATACCGACAAAGACATAGCCGTTCGAACTAGGAAAGTCAAAGTCTCCGATAGTAATTGCACCTAAGTACAACATTGGAACCCGTTAGTAAAACTTGATTTAAATGTTTGAATTTGGGAAAACGGGGTGCGGATTTAAAATCAGAGAGTCGAAATACGCTAAAGAGAGTCCATGGAAATTTTCGTAAAAAGTCAACAGTCAACCCTAAAAAGTCAATTAAGATGTCCCGGTGATCAACTACGTTAAAACTTTGGAATTTAACTTTGGTATTTTATGAGTGCGTTTGCGATGTGTAATGTTGTGAGTCAAGCCTATGTTGTTCTCCTCACTTTTTTTACTTATTCCTCCCCCCCCCCCCAAAAAAAAAATTCTCCCTCAGTAATTTGTCCCCAGTTTGGACCCGCCAAATAATTTCTTTCCAGTTTGGACCACAGCCGGCCTCAGACCAACTCCACCGCGTTTTCTAGGTCAAAAGTAATCACAAGTTAACTAAAATATAATTCGTGATTACATCAATAAATAGTTGCGTACTATTATTTTTGTCATGAAAGACACAATTAATATTATTATATACTCCTTATTGCTTAGCCCACATCAATTGATTTGTCAAAATGCTCTTCGGCCTTAACAATTATTTTATCTGTAGGTGATTAAGTGCGTAATTTTATGACCGACTATTAAATACTAACTTATTGTAGCCCACTGATTAAGAGATTCGCTCAAACTTTTGAAGCATGGGTATAGACAAACACCTGTCTTCAAACACTGCATGAATGATACAAATTTCAATGCTTATTATCGGGATCAGTATATTATAAATCACTTCGTAAATATTATCTCTGAAAATAAAAAATAAAAAAAATTCAACATGAGCTATGAAATATGTTGCTGGCTACTGGCCCATTTTCATGATTATTGAATTTGTTGAGATACTAAAGCCGTATGCATCGCTCCAGAGAAAAAACAAGCGTGCGGTGCAATGTGAACATACACGTGAAAGACTAACCCTGACTCGAGCGAGTACTAACACCAGTGCAGCACACAATTAGCAGATAACGTAAATATGATTATGCCACAGTAAATTGATAATTTGATAATTCTAATCAATACAATGATATTCATTACCGTAAATTCAATTTAAGGTATAAATAAGACTACGCATACATGTGCATCAAGTAGGGTGTTGTATAATTTCATAATTTCCGTTAATACGCTAATTCTTATACACGTCACGATAATCTAGGCATATTGTAGAAAACTCTTTATGAAATGCGTAAATGGAAACTACACACACACACACTATAGAAAAGAAAAATCCCACTCATAGATACCGGTGAAGACATAGCCATTCGAACTAGGAAAGTCGAAGTCTCCAATAGTAATTGCACCTAAGTACAACATATGGACCCATTAGTAAAACTTGATTAAAATGTTTGAATTTGGGAAAACGGGGTGCGGATTTAAAATCAGAGAGTCGAAATACACTAAGGAGAGTCTAGGGAAATTTTCGTAAAAAGTCAACGGTCAACCTTAAAAAGTCAATCGAGGCGTCTCGATGATTAACTACGTTAAAACTTTGGAATTTAACTTTGGTATTTCATGAGTGCGTTTGTGATGTGTAACGTTGTGAGTCAAGCCTTTGTTGTTCTCCTCATTTTTTTACTTATTTACCCCTCCCCCCCCCCCCCCCCCCAACCCCCTCCCCAAAAAAAAAAAAAAATTCTCCCCCACTAATTTGTCCCCAGTTTGGACCACCCGGCCAAATAATTTCTTTCCAGTTTCGACCACAGCCGGCCACAGACCAACTCCACCGCATTTTCTGGGTCAAAAGTAATCACAAGTTAACTAAAATATAATTCGTGATTACATCAATAAATAGTTGCGTACTATTATTTTTTTCATGAAAGACACAATTAATATTATTATATAATTCTTATTGCTTAGCCCACATCAATTAATTTGTCAAAATGTTGTTCGGCCTCAACAATTAATTTATCTGTAGGTGATTAAGTACGTAATTTTATGACCGACTTTTAGATACTAACTTATTGTAGCCCACTGATTAAGAGATTCGCTCAAACTTTTGAAGCATGGGTATAGACGAACACCCTTCTTCAAACACTGCATGAATGATATAAAGTTCAATGCTTATTATCAGGATCAATATATTATAAATCACTTCGTAAATACTATCTCTGGAAAAAAAAAAAATTTCAACATGAGCTATGAAATCTGTTGCCGGCTACTGGCCCATTTTCGTGATTATTGAATTTGTTGAGATACTAAAGCCGTATGCATCGCTCCAGAGAAAAAAACAAAAGCCATGTGTTGCGTCCTGGCATCTCGTCACTGACGTTGGTGATTGTTTATTGCAAGTTTAAGCATGAAGCTACTACATAATTTCTCAATAAATTGAATAATATTATGTCCATCAATGTTTCATCAACCCTAGCGGGCAGCCCTTGGCCTTACCTGTTGTCTTGGCTTTGAACGCGTTGAATTTTTGTACGCGGAAGATAAAGGTGCTTGAGTTGGGGTTTTTTTATTTCTTCTCTTTAACGATTTTCTAAGAAAGCCTGAGCGTCATAAAATTTTCAATAACCTAAATATCCCTTTTTCTTTCTTTCATATATTATCAATCGCTTGCTTCTTTCTCTTCTTTTTTACTCACAATTTACAACTCTATTGTTAGTACCTTGAGAGAAACACAAAAACAGATGGAGTGTATCATGACGATCTTGCAGATTTGCTGCAGATGGTTAACATTTTCTTCTCCGTCATCTGCTGCTGCTGGAGATGATGATGATGATGGTATTGTAGCTAATATCCCCCCTCGTCGGGAAAAGTATGATGTGTTTATCAGTTTCAGAGGTGAGGACACCCGCCGTGGTATTACCAGCCATCTTCATGCTGCCTTACTTCAGAAGAAAATTGAAACCTACATAGATTACAGACTTCAGAAAGGAGAAGAAATCGGACCTGCCCTTCTAGAGGCAATCGAGAAATCCACGCATTCGGTGATCATTTTCTCACAAAACTATGCTTCTTCCACATGGTGTTTGGATGAGCTTGTGCATACACTCGAATGCAAGGAAAGATATGGCCAGAAGGTTATACCCGTATTCTATGACATCAATCCATCTGATGTACGAAAACAACACGGGAGTTATGCGGATGCATTTGCTCAACTTGAAAAACGTTTCAAGGACAGTATTGATACGGTGCACAAGTGGAGGGTTGCTTTGAAGGCTGCAGCCGATCTGTCTGGGTTTGATTATTCAAACAATCACGGGTAAGTAACTCATTATTTAACTTGTATAAAATTATAAATTTTCTTTAAACTTGTGAGAATTTGATTAGATTTTGCTGCAATGCAATGCAATGTAGCTTTGCTGCAATGCAATTGCGGGGAGATTTTGGTTTTAACAAGACTTCATGCCCGTCCGTTGCTACAGGTCGAAAAATTTGTCATGTAATTAAATCAAATCATAAAGAAGATTTTAATAGACGGTACAATCACAAAATATAATGTCTTTGCATAAAAAACAGATGTAGAATGCAGTTCAATTAGCTTTTCAAACTTATTACAACAACTCTTTTTACACATATTTACAGCAACTCTATCTGCACATATATGTACAATCATATTTACTATTATTTTTACACAAATACTAATCAGCTTTTTCAAACTTCCTTGGTCAACACAGAGAGTTTGTTTTGCCCTCATATGCATGCTTCTATGTTACAAATTAAAAAATAGAAGTTGTTAATGTAAATCTAAGACATTTTAGTGAAGATGACGGAATAAAAGTGTAATTATTGAAGAGAGACTCTTAATTGCTAAAAACAATTGAATACTCAAGTGCATTTAATATTTAATAAGGAAGTGTTATTGACACTCTAAAAATCTCATTCTACATTCTTCAAAAGTATATTTTTCTTTCCAAATATAGAAAGTTTGAAGTGTAGAATGAGATTTTTAGAGTGCTAATAACAATTCCCTATTTAATATAGATTAAACACAAATATATGTTGATGTACGAATTTAAATGTACCAGGAGGAGAAAAATAGAATTTCTTTTGCTCATGAATAATTAAAACTGACATATGTTAAAGCGTACATATGAAAAGAAAGTGGACTTTTCAAATTGTTCATATCACATTTTCTATTAAGCTAACCACAATAGACTTTTCTATCACAATTATCTGCATCCAAGTATGAATAAAGGTTAACTAATGTGATTATTTTCATCCTATTGTAAATGGTAATATAACTTTCATTTTGCTGAATTGTAAACTGGGAGAAAAATATGCATAAATGTTGAAAAAGATTTATAAGATCTTAAAAATGTAGAAAATGAGTAGCAATTGCCCTTCCAACTCAACTGGTAAACGACAAGGAGGAAAACGTAAACCAATGACTGGGTTTTCATTTTTTGTGTCACTGCTCTTATCATATTTGAAGCAAGCAACCAAATAGCATATAATAATTCCAATTTCGATCCACCCATCACAATCCCTGACCTGAAACTAATTACAACTCTGGAGTATGTACTTCCTAAAGAATATGAACATATAATTGTCACGCCTCGATCCCGACATACGTCCAGGATCGACACGTGACACAGAGACGTAGCGAACATCTTAACATACGTATAAGATACCAAATGAAATATTGGAACTAATACCACAAAATAAACACGATAGTGGACTCTTCCCCACAAAATATATACAATTATATACATTCAAAATACACAACCCTCATTAGGGCCAAGACATGACCATAGGCGGTCAAAATATAAGTTCCAAAAGAAATAATACAAAGAAAGATAAAGGAGCAACCTAATCACTCTAAATCTTTGATCTTTGCACTGCTACTCCCATCGGCTCCTTGTAAATCTCCTCAGGCTTGTCACATGTATAATCAGTGCCTAGAGTTTGCATTAACGCACCATAGCGAGTCAGAAAAGCTATCTTTTCTATGTCATCATCTTGGATCCTCAATTGATGATAACCAATCTGCAAATCGAGCTTACTAAAATATTGAGCACCTTGAAGTTGGTCAAACAAGTCATCAATCCTCAATTGCGGGTACTTATTTCGCACTCACTCTATATCCATATTAAGCTCACGATAATTGATGCGCAAACACATGATCTGTCTTTTTTCTTCACAAAGAGATTGGCAGCACCCTAAGGTGAAACATTAGGTCGAATTAAACCTTTATCCAATAACTTCTGTAACTGCGCTTTGAGCTCTCTGAGTTTCAAAGGCGCCATACGATATGGAGCCTTAGAAATAGGTGTTGTCTCTGGCATAAGGTCAATAGTGAACTCAATCTCCCTTACTGGAGGCAAGCCATGTAACTCTGCAAGAAATACGTTAGGGAATTCTCTAACTACTGGAATGGCATTAATTTCACTATTTCCTTGCTCAACGGGTATGACATGAGCCAAATAACCTTGATATCTGTGTCTCATGAGTCGTCTAGCCTTGGCAACTAATACCATTACTGGTGGTGGAACAGGTTTATGAACTTTAGCAAACTAAAACGGAGGCCTGTCAAGTGGTCGAAAGGTTATCACTTTCTAAAAACAATCGAAATTCGCTCAATATATCGATAGGTAATCCATGCCCATAATGACATCTAGATCTCGCATTAGAATAATCATCAAATCTGTTGGCATCTCACCCTGATCCACCTAAGCCTCACAAGATCAAACTACTTGGTCAACAATATGAGGCCTCGAAAAATGAGAGGAAATGGAGTATGTCACATCCATCGTCTTAATAAGTTTACCCAAAGACTTAACAAAAGTACTTGATGTAAAAGAATTCTCAGCTCCAAGATCAAACAATGGCCTAGCAGGGAGCGAATCAAGATGAATAGTACTTGTGACTATGTTAAGCTCAGCCTTGGCCTCCAAAGTGGATAGTGCACAAACCTTACCAACTCGCTGAGAACCTATTTGAGACGTCCCAACTCCATTGCTCTAGGCCCTAACTCGCTGAGAACCTCTTCTAAGCTGTCTGTCGCTTTATTGTCTGGTCATTTGCTGCACAATCCTCTACTGAACCAAGTTAGAAGGTGCTCTAGAAGGCCTACTCTACACCGAATATGCTACTGAGCCCCCAGCACTAGTAGCGGGTCTACCAACTCTACTAGCAGTAGTCTGTGGGCAATCTTAAAATAGTGACCAGTCTCGCCGCCCTGGTACAAGTCTTAGAACCATTTCTACATGCGTCATAGTGTCGACGTCCTCAGTGAGTACAAATCCATGGAAGTGTCTTCTGTGGTTGGTATCGAGATCCTTTAAAATAAATTTTTGAATGCCTTTCAGAAAAAGTTTGGGGTCCGCTCACGTATGCGCCATGAGAACCTCCTCGAAAACGGCTCTAAGGACTCACCTCAACAGAATGTTGAGAGCCTTCTCTAACTTAGCTTGGAAATCTCCATGAAAAGTACCCTGATTTTCTCTATGTGACAATCCATGAGAACCACCAAACGAGAATCTCTGGCATTTTTTGGATATACCCGAAAACGCATCAGATGACTGACTCTTTGACCAGGCCCTCTTCCTTTGTTTTCCACTCGCTCGTGCCTTCATTCCTCATTAAGCTCTGTTGTGCATGCACAATCAATCGCCTGAGCGAATAAAGGCAATCCCTAAACAAATAACAGATTCCTTATACTAGGCTTAAATGCCATAATAAGTTTCTTCGTTTTCTTTTCCTCATAGAGTTGTTGAGAGAAACAATGAAGTTAAGTAAAACGGGCCACATGATCAGCAACTGTGGTGGTGCCCTGCTCAATAGTGGCGAAATCTGCCTCCAACCCATCCCAAAATGACTCTGAAAAATATTGCCCAAAGAATGCAGTCTGAAATCGCTCCCAAGTTAAGGGTCCTCCGACTACCAATAAAGAACGAGTGATATGCCGCCACTCGTAAGCCTACCTGTTAACATATACACTGCAAGGTCTACCTACTCCTCAGGTGAACATCGCAGAACGGTGAAAACTCTGGCGATCCAATTGGTCCAGGACTCAGTCGTCCACATATCAATACTACCATCGAATGAAAGCAGTTTATAAGTATGAAACTCTCCATATAGAGACTTCTCCCTACTAGAAGTCGCACGTACGTGAGCCTGCGTCAACTGTGTCAAATCATCAATGGCCTAAAAAACACCATTGGGTCCATCATAATCGTGGCTAGCCTTTTAATCAATAGCAGAAGTGTCAAGGACATCATCCCCAAAAGGCTGAACAACACCATGTGGGGTCGTCATAATATATCTAATGCATAGAAGAATTCAACATAAGCATATACACGAAATTTGAGAAACGAATCCACACGACCTAATTAAGGTCTAGTACCCAACCTACCCAAGGCTTCCTCACTCTAAGGTTAAGGTATGGGAACCTAAACCTAAGCTTTGATACCACCAAAAGTTGTCACACCCCGATCCCGACGTACGTCCAGGATCGACAAGTGACACAGGTACGTAGGGGACGTCTTAATTACTTACAAGATACAAAATGAAATACTAGAACTAATACCTCAAAATAAACATGATAGTGGGCTCTCCCCCACAAAATATATACAAATCTGTACTCTCAAAATACACAACCCTCACTAGGGCCAAGACATGCCCATAGACGCTCAAAATATAAATCACAAAAGAAATAATACAATGAGGGATAAAGGAGTAACCTAATCGCTCCAAGTCTCTGATCTTTGCACTTCTACCCCACCGGTTCCTCATAATCTACTCAAGCCTGTCACATGTACAATCAGTGCTAAAGTCCACGTTAGCGCACCCTAGCATGAATATCAAGACGTCACGTACTATCGTCGCCTAGGTCGAGGTCCAATTTGGCCGAGAAGTGCCCTGAAATCACCCAAGACCATCGGAATCCTAAAATGAGTGTTCTTCGAACCCCGAAACCCCAACCAATGCTTGGGCCTTGTTTGTAGGTTCAAGGACAGTCTATTGGTGGCGCTGGCCGAAGGAACAAGCTTCAAAAACGGCCAATCGCCATCAAATATTCACGGACCCGTTAGTGGAGTTCTTCGTGAAACCGAGGCAAAAATCTCGTCGAGCTTGTGGTGGAAGGTCGAGAAAAGCCAAAAAAAATTGACAGAAATCACGCCGAAAATTGCAGAAGGTTCGAGTCAGAAGCCGGGTCACGAAGGGGGAATGGGTCATACAACTTTTGCGACTAGCCTTTAAAACAAATGTATGGAAATCTGCCTCCAGCTCATCCCAAAATGACTGAAAAATATTGCCCAAAGAATGCAGTCTGAAATTGCTCCCAAGTTAAGGGTCATTCAACTACCAATAAAGAACGAATGATCTGCCGCCACTCGTAAGCCTGCCTGTTAACATATACGCTGCAAGGTCTATCTACTCCTCAAGTTAGCATCGCAGAACGGTGAAAACTCTGGCGATCTAATTGGTCCAGGACTCAGTCGTCCACGTATCAGTATTACCATCGAATGAAGGCAATTTATGAGTATGAAACTCTCCATATAGAGACTTCTCTCTACTAGAAGTCGCACGTACATGAGCCTGCGTCAACTGTGTCAAATCATCAATGGCCTGAAAAACACCGTCGGGTCCATCATAATCGTGGCTAGCCTTTTAATCAATAACAGAAGTGCCCTCATTGAGGACATCATCCCCAAGCGGCCGAACAACACCATGTGGGGTCGTCATAGTATATCTGGTGCATAGAAGAATTCAACATAAGCATATACACGAAATTTGAGAAACGAATCCACACGACCTAATTAAGGTCCAGTACCCAACCTACCCAAGGCTTCCTTACTCTAAGGTTAAGGTATGGAAACTTAAACCTAAGCTTTGATACCACCAAAAGTTGTCACACCTCGATCCCGACGTACGTCCAGGATGAACACGTGACACAGGTACGTAGGGGACATCTTAACTACGTACAAGATACAAAATAAATTACTAGAACTAATACCTCAAAATAAACATGATAATGGGCTCTCCCCCACAAAATATATACAAATCTGTACTCTCAAAATACACAACCCTCACTAGGGCCAAGACATGCCCATAGACGCTCAAAATATAAATCACAAAAGAAATAATACAAGGAAGGATAAAGGAGTAACCTAATCGTTCCAAGTCTCGGATCTTTGCACTTCTACCCCACCGGCTCCTCATAATCTACTCAGGCCTGTCACATGTACAATTAGTGCCTAAAGTCCACGTTAGTGCACCCTAGCATGAATATCAAGACATCACGTACTATCGTCGCCTAGGTCGAGGTCCAATTTGGCCGAGAAGTGGCCTGAAATCACCCAAGACCATCGGAATCCTAAAATGAGTGTTCTTCGAACCCCGAAACCCCAACCAATGCTGGGGCCTTGTTTGTAGGTTCAAGGACAGTCTATTGATGGCGGTGGTCGAAGGAACAAGCTTCAGAAACGGCTAATCGCCATCGAATATTCACGGACCCATTAGTGGAGTTTTTCATGAAACCGAGGCAAAAATCTCATCGAGCTTGTGGTGGAAGGTCGAGAAAAGCCAAAAAAATTGATAGAAATCACGACGAAAATTGCAGAGGGTTCGAGTCAGAAGTCGGGTCATGAAGGGGGAATGGGTCATGCTAGATTCTCTCCTCTCTTCTCTGATTGATCACCTCACTATCACTCGCTCTCTCTCTAATTAGCCCTTCCCCTAAATTAATGGGAGCTTCTAGTTATATATTAAACATTTTTATTTTATTTTCTTAATCGAACTTCAAATGTCCATAACATCTTCGTTATCACTCCAATTTGCGAACGGCTTTCGCCCACGCGCTCGTGGAATTGAGTTTGATTCGAAAACACTAATTGTGACCTCGAAAGGTCTACAAATTTTGAATGATTAATTACAAAAAGTCATACCTTGTAACTATAAAATTCAAATTCTAAAATTGACGGAATTAGAATAAAATAAAAATAATGTAAATACGAAATACGGAATTAACTAATGAAATGCATAATTAATAATGAAATTCTAAGAACAGAATTTCACATATACAATAAAGCAGCATGTTTGGTGAAATTTAGGGTCGTTTAATTGAACACCCAAAGCATTCAATCTTATACAAATGAATAGTGTTGCAACCTATAACCCATTCAAACATTCAATAAAGCAGCTCCCTCTCTTTCTCTCTATGTAACCCTTCCACTTACCGAATCGCAAATCTCGTACGAACAGGTCATACTTGCCCATGTTCACGGCTCCATCTCTCCTTCTCTCTCTGTAACACTTTCCTCAATCTCACCCACTGCAACCCGCACCTCTACCTATTCTAAAATGATGATTGCCTACCCACCTTTTACCTCAGACCGTCGGATCTAAAATCTGGATGGGTATTATGGTCATTTGCACATCGAATCAGGCCTTCCTCGTTAGCCATCCACAACAAAGCCCACTTTAGGCCAAAACACACCAATCATACCCCCGCGTATAGGAATTTTTTTTTCAAAGGATAGAAATTCTGTTAATAAATCAAAATCCCCAATTGAAATTGCCCTATAGCTTAGCTACAATGCCACCCCTCCCAACTTTAGGCTAGGGTAATTACGAAATTGCCATTTTTTTGTGGGTTTGGGGAGGGTGGCCTTGTTCCTTGGCCAAGCATGTAATTAGTTGTAGTTCATTTAAACGTATCTGATTTCTCTTTAGGGTTAATGATTTCATTAGTGGGACAAGTTCATTTTCTTCAAAAAGATATTGGGTTGAATGCTATAATACGCAAGTTTACTTAGTTGTATTGTTGTTTACCTAAAAACAAATGTATTTCTATTTTAATATTGCTTTAATTTTATTTTGAGGAGAGAATACACAAGATTTCTTTTCTTGCACAAATATACGGTGTTAAAACTTTTAGTATATTTCTTTATTTACGTGACAACTTTTGCGACTAGCCTTTAAGGCTAACTATTGTTTTTTTTTCTACACAATCATACATGTATATATGCCAGGACGGAGGCAGATCTAATTAAGAATGTTGTCGATCAAATTTGGACAAACTTGAATTATGAATCATCATGTGATTTAGATGGCCTGGTTGGAATTGAAAGCCGCATTCAGCAAATTGAACTGCGACTGGGCATTGACTCAAAGGACGCTTGCATCACTATAGGTATTTGGGGCATGGGTGGTATTGGCAAGACCACCCTTGCTGAAACTGTATTTCACAAACTCTCTTCTAAATTCGAAGCTTCTTGTTTTCTTAAAAATGTCAGGGAGAAATCAGAACAACCAGATGGGCTAGATTGCTTGCAAAAGAAACTTCTAAGTGACATTTTCAAGGGAGAAAGTATATCCATAGAATCAACTATTGTTCGAAGGAGGCTTAGCCGCACAAAGGTCCTCATTGTTATTGATGATGTGAGTAGTCCACTGCAAATGCAACGTTTAGCTGGTGATCTTCAACGGTATGGCACTGGAAGTAGAATCATTATCACAAGTAGAGATAAGGACACACTTAAACAAATTGTTGAAGAGGAGAATATCTACGAAGTTAAGGTATTAAAATCAAATGACGCTCTTCAGCTCTTCTGTTTGCATGCTTTCAAGAATAACACTACTCGTAGAACATATTATGAGGAGTTGTCAAAAAAGATCGTGGATTATGCCAGAGGCGTTCCCTTAGATCTTATAGTTCTGGGGTCCTTGTTCTTCAATTGCCAGAGCAAAGAAGACTGGGAAGATGAATTCAACAAATTGAAACGATTTCCTAGACAAGATATCCAGAAAGTGTTGAGAATAAGTTACAATAGATTGGAAGAAAATGAGAAGCAGATATTTCTGGATATAGCATGTTTTCATAAAGGGAAGAAAGTGAATGAGGTAGAACGAATGTTACATGTTCGTGGATTCTTTGCGATATCGGGAATTAGAAATCTCTGTGATAGGTCTCTCATATCAATTTATTCAGACAAATGGGAAAGGAAAGTCATAAAGATGCACGATTCGCTACAAGAAATGGGAAGGACAATTGTTCAGGAACAATGTATTGAAGATCCTGGTAAACGGAGTAGGTTGTTCACGAATGAGGAAATCTATCGTGTACTGAATGGTAACATGGTAAGAGCCAAATGCATTCAATGCTTTCTTTTCTTTTCTTTTTTTAAAAGAAAAAATAAATAGCAAACTTGAGAAGATAACACAACAAAATAAAACTCATTTATAAAAAGAAGTCAGATTCTTAAAATATTAATTTGATTGAATTTTATTGCAAAAATGCTATTCTTAATATTTATTTGTATCATCTTTCTAATAGAGATGAGACCCCCATGCAATGACGGGTCCTACCCCTATTAGAAAGATAGTACAAGTGATGGTACAACTAAGTGATAAGAATAACTCTACTATTTTTTAATTGTGATAGGAAGTCTATGTAGTCTTTGTTATTTTATTAAAATTATCTTGGATATTTTACTAGAAACTTGTACATCATTACCATCGCAAATACTCTAGATTATTCTATAACTTTGTTGAATTCTTTTTCCAAATAAGCATTACATTTTAACATGTTGAAAATATATACATTTAAACTTTGTTCTTATTGTCAGGAAAGTCCAATTGTTGAAGCCCTATTCCTTAAATGGCATAAGAGTGAAGAGCGACGACCATGGAACTTCAAACTGATGTCAAACCTGAGAATGCTATTTGTGCATCCTTTTCCTATATTTGACATCATATCCACCGCTCCTGTAGAACTTCCTGCTTCTGTAGACCTTCCCGATTCTCTTCGCTACCTTGACTGGTTAGGATATCCAATGGAATCTTTGCCGTCAAAATTCTCGCCGGAAAATCTAGTTGAGCTTCATATGCCATGGAGCCGAGTTAAGAAGCTCTGGAAAGATGACCAGGTATATTATATGCCTATTCTAACTCTTGTATAAAATTTAGTGTAGAAATTATATTAATTCTTTTTTCTCTCTACTCTTGTTACAGAGACTTGTCAACTTACAAGTGCTCGATCTGCATGGCTCTATAGATCTAACTGAAGTTCCAAATCTCTCTGGGAGTCTAAAAATTGTGGACATACATCTCTCTGGCTGTGGAAGTTTGGTTGAAATTCCAAAGATGCCAGGAAATATTAAATACTTGGATTTATCTTACACTGGTATAAAGGAGTTGCCCCAATCAGTTTGGTCTCACGAAAAAATTTCTCACTTGAATATAAGTCATTGCGGAGACCTTGAGAAACTTCCAAGCAACATGTGTAAGCTGAAAGTCTCTGGTTCTTTTAATCTAGATGGCTGCACATCTCTTGCCGAGTTTTCTGAGCTTCCGAGGGATATAACTAAATTATCATTGATTGATTGCAAGAGACTTGTGAGTCTACCAACCAGCATTTGTAAGTTGAAATATCTCAAGGAACTCAATCTCTCCGGCTGCTCTAAACTTGAAAACTTTCCAAAGATCTTGGAGCCAATGGAACATTTGGAGTCTTTAAATTTAAGTGGAACAACGGTTCAAGAGCTACACTCAGCAATCGAGTTTCTCCATGCTCTCAAAATACTTGATCTACATGGTTGCGAAAGGCTTTCAAGCATTCCAAAGAGCATTTGTAAGTTGAAATATCTCGAGAAACTCGATCTCTCTTGGTGCCCCAAACTTGAAAACTTCCCAAAGATCTTGGAGCCAATGGAACATTTGGAGTCTTTAAATTTAAGTGGAACAACGGTTCAAGAGCTACACTCATCAATCGAGTTTCTCCATGCTCTAAAAATACTTGATCTACATTGTTGCGAAAGGCTTTCAAGTATTCCAAAGAGCATTTGTAAGTTGAAATATCTCGAGAAACTTGGTCTCTCTTGGTGCCCCAAACTTGAAAACTTTCCAAAGATCTTGGAGCCAATGGAACATTTGGAGTCTTTAAATTTAAGTGAAACAACGGTTCAAGACCTACACTCATCAATCGAGTTTCTCCATGCTCTCAAAATACTTGATCTACATGGTTGCAAAAGGCTTTCAAGCATTCCAAAGAGCATTTGTAAGTTGAAATATCTCGAGGAACTCGATCTCTCTAGGTGCCCCAAACTTGAAAACTTCCCAGAGATCTTGGAGCCAATGGAACATTTGAAGTCTTTAAATTTAAGTGGAACAACGGTTCAAGAGCTACACTCATCAATCGAATTTCTCCATGCTCTCAAAATACTTGATCTACATCATTGCGAAGGGCTTTCAAGTATTCCAAAGAGCATTTGTAAGTTGAAATATCTCGAGGAACTCGATCTCTCTTGGTGCCCCAAACTTGAAAACTTCCCAGAGATCTTGGAGCCAATGGAACATTTGAAGTCTTTATATTTAAGTGGAACAACGGTTCAAGAGCTACACTCATCAATCGAATTTCTCCATGCTCTCAAAATACTTGATCTACATCGTTGCGAAGGGCTTTCAAGTGTTCCAAAGAGCATTTGTAAGTTGAAATATCTCGAGGAACTCGATCTCTCTTGGTGCCCCAAACTTGAAAACTTCCTAGAGATCTTGGAGCCAATGGAACATTTGGAGTCTTTAAATTTATGGGGAACAGCGGTCACTGCTCCAGCGTGAAACGCGTTTCTCCCCGTGCTCCAATATATTTCATGTTCTTCCAGCGAAGGAAAAGATTTCGGTTAAGTAGAACATTGGTTGAACAGCTGTCAAAAATCCCTTTTTAAAACCACTAAGATGTAAACAAGATCATAAAGTTAAAGGGTAGGGCAACTTATAGCTTCCAAAAGTCATGTTCATGGTCATACCATATAGGCTCATAACTGTAACCATGGACAGTGTTCATGCCTGCACTATCAGCTCGAAATGTCATATGCAATAACGACATTTCTCTTTCAAGATAATGTGGCATGATGGATGGGTAATCATTCTATCAATCAAGATTGCACATTCACACATGACTCAATTTAATTGTATTTATGGATGTTTGTATGTCAATTGGCCAGCAAAAAATTACACCCAATTACAAATAAAATTTTATATCTACAAAGTACCCATGGCATACGTAAGTTTTTACATCTAAATACGAACACATTATGCAAAGGACGAACATCCAGCAGCAAAGCATCTCGCAGAAAAATATGCTTGATCTAGCCTGTTATGTTGAGGAATTCAAGCTAAACTCCAACAACTAAAACATTGTCAATCATCCACCACCCAGAAGAGGAAAAATAAACAACCTTAACTCCGGGATAGGGATGGTACAAGTTTTGCAAAGATGCATCAGTTCAGTTAACAGCTAACATGAAGAGAAATAAACTGAAGAAAAGAGCTTCAATAAGCACATTTATGGCACCTGTGCCTGTAAAACACAAGCCAAAAGATGAATAAAAAGAAAATAGGACTACCTCTTGGTCGTCCCTATTTCAGAAATAGGTCGGGGGTTTGTGCACCAGTGATCTTCCCATCTGTATGCGTCAACTTTCACAAAAATATTGGTGTACTTCTGAACATCAGTTTGCGTCAAACTAAGCCATGATATATGAGACTGACTAGAAGCAGAGTTCCCAGCACTGGATGAAACTCTAGTAGCACTAGTCTGAGACCTGCTGGTTTGCTTTTGCAAATGACTGGGCCTGCTGAGGCTGGCTACCAACGTGGGTACTTGGGCTAGCTGAAGACTGGGTCCCAACAAATACTGGCACAATGGCTGATGAGATAAGTACGTTGCCAGGAGGAAAATTCCGCTTTGGTTAAGATGGGGTTGCAGAAAACACATCATCTCCAAACGATGAGTCGGGTGTTGCTGCAAGATTTATCTTGGGTGCAGGTATTCTAGCTTCAGCCGGGCCATATCATGCTGCCTTCACCATTTCTGGCGTAAGTTCTCTCTTACTTGTGCCACAGTGACAATTCTAAGGGCATTGTAAAACTCTGCCTGACCAAGGAAACTAGTCTGCCCCGGGTCTGCACGTGCCCAGCTGCAGGTTTTCACTACTACACAATTGTAATGTAATAAACAATTCTTGGGTCATATAAGTTTATAACACATTTCTAAAGTCTGCTTACCACCTAAGGTCGAAGGAATACACCAAAAAGTAAATTAATGACCTGATAACACAACTATCTCAAATTCACTAACCTTAGTATTAAGTCCTTCATCTTCTAATTTTCTACCATTTGAACATCAATTCCGTATTATACTACGATCGGGAGGGGCTAATTCAAACCCCTCGGGTAAAATAAGAACAGCCCCAACACAAAATAAAAATCTCAACTTAGATCAGCGAATTACAACATCCCAAGCTCACATTAACCACTTCAACTACAATTAGACTAAAATTCAAAATCAATCTGATTTGGAACACATTTCCACCAGCATAAATCCCGATCAACCACTATAATTACACAAATATAATCATACACACTACAATATACATCCACTTATACATATAAATATATATAATATATATACACACAAGCATATACATGTAGAGAGAGAGAGTAACTGCGCAAGGCCTGTTTGGGGAGACCGGAGCCCTGGAAGAAAGCGACTGCTTCATTGCCACTAATCTGGCCATTGCATTCCAAACTGGCTCGTCGAAAATACGCATTGAAGAGATCCACTTTTGTCGATTGGTTCTACGCCGACGCAATCGCCACCGTCGGATTGCGATTCGCGAAAAATTAGACCATGGAATCAATCGAGACCTCCACGCGCTCAGGCTGCCGTACACGTGAGTAGCGCCTGGAAGAATCAGAAAACCACGAATTCAAAGGACAAAGGTTTCGATGCCTTAGAAAACGACGACGTACAACAGGGATTTGGTAGCCCTAAACCCTAAATTTTCAATATGTTGGCTGGAAACTTTAAATGTCTTATGCTTCTAAAACCAAAACCAGTATGCAATCTGACATGCGTATGAGGAAATTATCATCATTGAGTGCTTGTTCCTAGGACACAACTGGGGGTGTTTATTCCTACCAATAATGTGACCGTATGACGGATTTTAGGCTAGGCTTATTCCAGTTCCTCCTACAGATGTCAGATTGCAAGCTGAGTTCAATCTGAGAAACATAAGATGCCTTCAAGTCACCAACCAACTGTTTGAAAGTTTTAGATTGCCGTTACAAAGTAAAGAGAGCAGTCCATATGAAAAAACCTTTGAGTAGTTTTTCTTGCTTGCACATGCCAACAAGCCTTTGAGTAGCCCTTATGAAAAAGCGCCAACATAGATGGGAGGAAGAAGAAAAGGCATGCGCAAGCAAGTGAACAATGAGCATACATGGCTGATAAGCCCACGACCGCTCCTGAGGGTAGCCGGAGTAGGCGAGGCAGTCTAGGACGCCACTTCGGAGGGGTTCCCTGATTATACATACATACATACATATATATATATGGGGATAATGTTAGGGATATCAAAATTTTAAAAGAGTTTTAATGAAACACTCCCGGTATTGTTCACTTTAACGAAAAATGACAATTTTACTCTAAAAAGTCACTCCCGGCACTATTCACTTACAACACCTTTTTATCCTTTTAATTAAAACTCAAAGTTTTAAAGCCCTTTTCATTAGTTGTCCAAAATTTTAAACCAAATTTGAAAATCAAATGATATGTCACCAATATGAAATACGCACGTCAATCAACACTTAAGTGATAATCCAATCATCAACAACCACATATTTGGTTTGCAAATTGGTTTAATATTTTGGTTTCCCTATCATTACCTTATATATAAACTAATATTACAAACTTTGTCCATTCAAATAAGAAGTTTACCGACTTTGAGCCATTGATTATTTGCTTACAGAATTTTGTTAACCATACCAGTTACCATTGCCTCTGCAAAAAGAAGTTTTTCAAAATTAACGTTGATCAAATCTTTTCTTCGATCAACTATGTCACAAGAACTATTGAATGAGTTAGCTATTTTATGAATTACAAAAAGAATTGGTTGATTAGATTGTGTAAACTTAATTAGTACATTTGCATCATAAAAAGCAAGACGTGTAATATTTAAGTAATGTTTATATATCTTTCTTCAATTTGTCATTGGTCTTACTCTAAAAACTAATTGTATAAACTACCATGTGAAGTTGCATTCCATAACATATAATTAGAGTTGCTGGTGACCCAACAAACCCAACAATGCTCGGGTATTCCATAACTTTTATACACGTTAATTTAGTTTCATATCTAATGTTTAAGAATCATTTTGATACCCATAAACACAATGTATGAGTTATCAAAGCTTCTTCAAATCACAAAGAAAGAACTATGCACAAGTGGGAGAGTACAAGTGCACCTTAAATGCTTCCTTGATAGCCATATCGACTAAATATTCCTCGGTCAAGATTTTAAGCTCATCCACCCTGCACCACAAACAAATGTAGACAAACATTAACAAACCTACTCCACTTTTGTTCATGGCCAGCGATTCTTCAAAAATGATGCCCACGCATCCTATTCCAAACCGCCGTGCCAAGGCAACTCCTGTATCATGAGTTTGTCTCATCAACTTAGCGTTGTAACAAAGCATCCTTTTTAAATGTGTACAATTATATGCTGAAGAAGTACTTACGAAATCATGGGAAAGGCACCTTTCAACAACCATGCTGGAAATAAAATGTTATCTAATTGGCAGCAACCCAGGATTGGTTAATTGCCACTACCCAGTTCCAGCTGCTGCAAATACTGCAATAGCTTTTAGCAAATCAGGCTTTGGCCGGTAACCGGCCTCAAATTCTTGCGAGCTCATTTCATCAACCGAACATAAAGGATCACATGATCAAAAACTTAGAGTTCAACTCCTAATAATATGCTAAAAGGTGATTCAAAACTTTCAAGTTTCGACAATTCAGTTTTCAAACAGCATCTAATAGGCAATCCATGAGAAACCCATGTCTTAACCTATTAGGCAATTCCATTCCCATGAACTAATTACTAAAATTATGTGCAGGTGCAACTGATACATTTCAAATACTCATATTAACGACTTGATCAAAGGGCCTTTCAAAGTTGCTAATTTTCACAAGTTTATCCGAGTATATTAAACTTTTCAGGAATTACACAATTCAAATTTAGACAAAGTTTGCCAAAATTAACCAAAAAAATGGCAAAAATAGCAAAACTAACAACTGGGCACGGTTAAAAACGAGAGCTCCTGCTCCTCTTCCTTATCGCCACCAATATTGTTGGCACCGCCGCTGCCATTCTCCGCCAACATCTATCTGCTGCTAGCGTAAAACTTTAAGCTTTAATCGCTAGCGGAGTGCAGAAAAATCAATTCAAAAAGAAAATCCTAGAAATCACTTATGTTGTTATTGAATAAGAAAAGAGAGAAGATGATTCTAGTGCCTTACGAAATATTCGATTGCGCTTCAGGATCTCCGATTGTGGTCCATAATTTCCGATGATTCTCCCAAAATCTCTGATTGGATGGATTAGGGCTCTCATTTTTCAGTCGAATATGAAAGAGGAGAAGGTGGAGGGAGGGAAGAATGAAAGGCGCGCCCGTTCTTTTTCGTCTGAAAAATAAAGCGCCTAATTGAAAACTTAATACATTTAGGCGCTATATTATTATCAGCGACACCATTTGCGACGCATTTAAAAATCCTTGGATCCCTTACATGACCCCTGGATAATTCTGGATACACCAATGGATGGTGCCATGGTGGTGTTCAAAGGAAATGAAAATTGGGTAAAGTATAAAAAACTACTTTAGTGTCACGATATTTCATACCTTATTTTTTTTTAAATTGATAATGTCATACCTCATTTTACGAATTTGTGCCAATGTCAGATCTCCGTCAGTTTTTCTATTAATTTTTCTGTTAAATACTGACGCGGCTAGAAGCGGGACTCATTTTTATTAAAAAAATAATTAAATATTAAAAGATTAAAAAATAAACAATAAACAATAAACCAAAAAAAAACCAATCAACCCATGTGCCCCCTCCCCAAAAACCCAAATCCCCTTCTCTGAGTTCTCCCCCACCCAACCCTCTATCTCATCTTTCGCCTCTCTCTCTTCTTCTCCCTGCAACCTGCATCCCTAAAATCCCAAAACCCAGAAACCATTCCCACCTGAGTCATCACCGTCGGCGAGCTCTCAATCCTTTGAGCCGACGATCGTCGATTAACCCCAAACCTTTCCCCGCCACTCCCGCTAGCGTTAGAGCTCTCCTTCTGGCACCACAGGTGCTTTTGGTTCCCCCACTTCAAATACCAAGTCAAGTTGAAATTGTGCAGAGGCTTCGCCCTTTCAGAACCTATTGCGATGGACTTCACCTCCACTCTCTTTTCCTCATCCGACCCGCCTATATACACCATTTATCGAAAACTCATACCAAAGAGAGCCACTCTCATACCACAACTCTCTCTCTCTCTCTATTTCTCGCACCTCCTCTGACTTTCTCGGAAAATCTCAGAATTTTCTGGGAAAAACGGAGAGTTTTTCTATTGGGATTGTTGTTGTTGTTATTATTGTTTTGTTTTTCTCTTGCAAATCACCAGAGGGAAAACTTTGGGGGCGAGGAGGAGAAGGGAATGTTGTTGTGGAGGTTGTGGCTAGAGTTAGGGTTTGGGGGTGATTGGGGGTCGTGGCTGTCATTGCTAAAGTCAACGACAAAGGTAGGGTTGTTGTCGGTGGGATCGGAGAGAAAGGTTGGGGGGGGACGGGTGGGAAAGATTTCTGGATTTTGGGATTTTAGGGATGCAGGTTGCAGGGAGAGAGGAGAGAAAGAGGGTTGGGTGGGAGAGAACTCAGATAAGTGGATCTGGGTTTTTGGGGAGGGGGGACACGAGTTGATGGGTTTTTTTTGTTTTTTTTTTTTAATTTTTAATATTTAATTAATTTTTTAAAATATTTAATTAATTTTTTAATAAAAAATGGGTCCCGTATCTGGCCACGTCAGCATTTAACAGAAAAACTGACGAAAGTCTAACATTGACACAAATTCGTAAGATGAGGTATGACATTGTCAATTTTAAAAGATGAGGTATGAAAGTGTCATGACACCAATAGTTGAGGTAGTTTTTTGTATTTTACCCATGAAAATTTGATGCCCAACAACCAACTATTTTATTTTCCTTTTAAAAGAAAAACCAACTATTTCTCAAAGAAAAAAAATATATGTCTTACTTTGTAAACAGTCATTTTTATTTACCTACTCACAGTTAAACATATCTTTGCCATTTAGTATTACAGTTTAATGATATTTTTCTTATTAATAATTAAATGATCTTAACTTTTGCTCTCATAAATAACAAGTTTGAAACAAATTATCTCAAAAATAAATAAATAAAATAAATAAAAAATAAAAATAAATAAATAAAAAGGAAAGGAAGAAATGTGTCTAAATCTAGAATAAAGAGTGACTTCTGCTATAAGCCAAGCTTTTTCTTCTTCTTTTGTCGAAAAATAAGAAATTTTATTGAATGAAAAATGTCTAATACAATTACATTAAACAAGCCCAATAAGGTGGGGATAACTAAAGCCCATTCAACAAAAAGGTAGAGAAAAAAAATCCTAATCTTCAACTCGCAAAAGCCGACCATTGGCGTCGCCATCACCTTGTTCACAACCACAAAGGTAGCCACCCGAATAAAATCAACTATGCATTAAATTCGATGAAGGTATAACAGCGCAAAACAATTGAACATGCAACAAAACCGTCACACCAAAGAAAAGCCAACAGATGTCGACCGCCAACACAAGCCCATGCAAGGAGAACAAAAAAACCAAAACAAATGGGAAGCAGATGGGGCTAAGGAGGCACCTAAACACCGTCGCTTTGGGAAAAGTTGCAACAAGCTCAGCCCTTGATTTCATAGATGGATATTAAATCCCTAGCATATTATCTTTCACTCTAATTTCATGAGTGCGTCTGGAATCCTACTAATACTCAATGTATGGATGCCACTAAGTGCGTCTGGATCTTTACATTTTGTTAAGTCTAAGTGTGTCTAGATCTCTACATTCTGTACAATTCCATCGGGTTCATCTGGAACCTTACATTTTGTTAGGTTCCGAGTGTGTTTAGATGCATTATGCGATTCTATTGGATGCGTCTAGAACGTTCATCTTATGGATTCTATAGAGTGAGTCTGGAATCCTACTTCTTATCTTGTATGTCAATTCTATCTGATTCCATGAGTGCGTCTGGAAGGCGAAACATTATGATTTATGTTAGTTCTTGTGTATTTGATCTATTTGATTTCATGAGATCTCGAATGTAGAATGTTTGCGAGTGTGTTGCTCCTATTATTTTAATGTATGTATGAAAGGAAAGCTGGTTGATTGTCTGTAAGGATTCTTCAATTAATTTTGTGAGTTAAGATATTTTATATATGCAAGGGATTGTCCATGTTTTATAAATGAGATCAATTGACTTTTCAATCACATGCGTTTACTATCATTCACACCATCTTTATAGCTTATTTGGGTTTTTGTTTTTTGCGATGTACTATTACCACTGTGTAGAGAGCCATTTTGAAGGTTCATAAATGTTGATATGTACAAGGTGTCTTGAGTAGCAATGCTAGGAAATGAATTAGGATTCTCTCTCATCCTCTTCCCAACCCCTTTCATCTCCTCCTCTCACATTATCTATTTTGTCTTTCTCATTCTATAAAAAATTAATATAAGATGTTGACGTGGTTTAACCGTGACCATTCAAATAGGAGGGAGAGAAGGGAAGAGAAAAAAAGAGGAGAGAGAATCCTACTCCCTGAGAAATTGAGCGCTTGGAGTGGTTAGGTTAACCTTTTACCTTACTGTCATATTTTGCAGACTTTTTGCATTGTATGTAAGTGGGATAGACCTTACCAATATGTAAATTATGTTTTAAGTGTTTTGGTTGTATAAGTTATACAGTTACGTCTTAAAATTATGTGTCAATCCTAGACCTATCTTGAAATCGGGACATGACATTGTATCAAAAAGAACGTTAGACCATCTTCAAAGGAGATGTCAAATATGTCAAATAGGATAAAAAGACATTCAAGTGTTCTCCAATGGATATGTCATATATTATGTGGCATATGAGTCATTTGACTCCTTACTTTCTAGTTGCCATTTTTTTACATCAAACAAAGAAAGAGTCAAATAATTTAATTTAAATTTTTAATGCAGAGTCATGTTAACAACCAATAGAATAAAAACTAAAACTAATTTTGATTATTTTTTTAATAGTTAATATAACACTAGGCCCAATAAAATAATAAAATAAATATTTGACACATGCATTCGAAAAAAAAGGATTTAGTACTTGTATTCAATTTGCCACATCAGTCATCAAATAAAATTTTGACATATTATATTTGACATCTCCTTTGAAGATACTCTTAGGAAGGTGTAGTCAAATTTGGATTTGATAGGACTTGATAGTATTTTAATAAGACTTTAAAATCTGGGTTTAGTCAATTAGATTTTAAAAGATTTTGAAATCCATGTATAGTCAAATTAATATTTTAAATGATTTTAAAGAATACATCCAAATTCATAGGTAGTCGATTATGATTTTAAAAAGTCCACAAGAGTCCAGGTGCAATGAAAAATTATATCAAAGATTTGCAAGGATTGTAGTGAATGATGGATTTTGATGGATTTGAGAGTGGGTGGTATAGATACCAAACACCTTAAATAATTCAAGCTCCACCCATAAGATTTCATTTCTCCTCTATTAAGGTCATCTCCAACCAAATGGTCCAGAGGACCGAAAATAGCCTGAAAATCGCCTCCAACCGAGGGCCAGGCCGGAGGGCTCGTGGGCCCCATAGAATCTAAAAGGGCCCAAGGGCTGACCCAATCCAGCTAGCCAGCTTGCTCGGGGCTAGCCAGAAATTTAAGAATTGTTGTCGGATATAACCGACAACATTGTTATTATTCTTGTCGGTTATATCCGATAGTATCCGACAACATTGTTATTAATCTTGTCGGTTATATCTGATAGGAATTCTTAAACAAATTTTTTAATCTAACGGCTAGCTGACGTCAACTAACTGTTATTTTTGAATTTTTTTTTACATTTTTTTTTTATTTACAAATTTTTTTTCCTATAACTTCTATTTTTTAATTCTTTTTTTTTTATAATCTCTATTTTACAAAATTTGTTTCATATTTTTTTTAAATTCCATTTTTTTCCTATAACTTCTATTTTACAAAATTTGTTTCATATTTTTTTTAAATTCCATTTTTTTCCTATAACTTTTATTTTACAAAATTTGTTTCATATTTTTTTTTAAATTCTCTTTTTTTTCCTATAACTTCTTAAGTCATTGTACAACATTAAATTAAATTAAGTAACATGAAACAACATTAAACAATATGAAAAAACATTAAATAACATTAACCAACATAAAAAAAAACAGTAAACAACATGAAACTTAAACAACATTTTTTAAAACATTTAACAACATAAAACTTAAACGCGTACTCCATGCTTCTTCTGGCCCAAAGATGTGCAACAAGATCTTGTCGTAAGTACTTGTTTGTGGCACGGGAACGTATCATTTCATAGCCCCTCATGTACTTATTTACAGAGATACTACCAGTTCTTGGATTGAAAGGCAAATTAGGCCTATCATATATTTATAGAGATACTACCAGCCCACTCGCCTCCTCACTTTGCATCGCTGTCAGTGTCACGGTCGATGGAAGGAGTAAATCAAGATCTAATGGTTAAAACATTCGGAGTAACATC